GGTGCCAATTTTGTCCATGATATGTTTACAAATATTTTTACATTTGGTTATTTAATTACATCATTAAAGTTGAGAACTATCTTTTTTTCAAGAATTTGAATAATATTTAAATAAATTCAATACAGCATCAAAAAAGAGAGAAAGGCATGTTTTTATAATAAGAATCACATTTTAACGAACATGATTATTAAAAGCTAATTGGCTTAACTTTTCTACTTGCAAAATAAAAAAGAGATAAATGGAAAAAAATCAACATCTTTGAATTTGTATAAAGATTAGTGACATGAAATGCAAAGATTTTTCTTCGTATTATCATAGTAGCCCTACTGTATCAATGAAAAAGTCTAAAAGTATTTCATATTTTCACACGATAGATGCATCGTTTTTATGACGTTTAAGATTAAGAAAAGTTCGCTATCATTGAATTTCTTTTTCTTACACTTGACAGTACATGCTGTCTCAAAATGTGCATATTTCGATTTTTTGATTTAGTATTGATATTTTTGAATGATTCTGATTGACTTCTTTCAATCGCTACGTATACATGCTTCAATTTTGTGAATTTATCAAGAAAAAATTTCAGGATACTTCTAAATTGTTATACATGTATTGTATCATAAATCATTTTTTAGATTATTTTCATGAGAATGTGAATATTTTTGAAGTACAAATTCAAATCCGTAAGCTAAATTTCTTCTTTCTCTTGTTTTCAGTGAGTGATACAATCAAGTATCGAATCGCGGTATAAGTTTATTGATTTGATTTTTATCTCAACTTAAAATAGATGCAAAATATTTTAACAAATAGAATCCTAGTCTGTTGAAATAGAATAATTGAAAGGTTGAGCAGAGGCTTAATGTCTCCTCTTCTAGTTACAGTCAACATCGATTTTTTAAAAAGAAACTCGGCACTTGAAATCACAGAGAATTAAATTTTATAGAGATAAGAATTTATTCTGCTTTGTCACCATTCCATCGCTTACTCGCTTACTGAATATTTTAGTGTTTCTTTATGTAGTTCTTTTTAAAAGAATTTATACTTTTACACGTTTTGAGAAACATAAAAAAAGGAGCTAGATAAAACAGAGCAGATAAATGCTGTCCTATCGTAAAATACAGATATGAAGTCATGAGGAAAAAATAGACGAACGATGTACGTCGTAAGAATTTTTCCAACAATAACAACAAAAAGACGCCGTTCATTTTCAATTTTTTGTTCGTGAGTGAGTAAATTATTAGACAGATTGAACCATATCTCTCTATTATTCCACTAGACACATGAGTAGTCAAGTAACGAAAGGGAGAATAAATTAAGGCCTATTTTGTATAAATTTGAGAGTTGGCTTGCGTTTCACTCAATAGTGTACAAAATTTGGCTCCTTATTCAATAACTATTCTCATATGCTAATCAATCATGCCCTAAGCACACTCATTATTCGATTCTTTTACTATAAAAACCAACGGGGCATCACAATTCTAGTTTTCATCAGACCAGCTTTGGATCAATACATTTTGAATCCGATAGACTGTCTCTATTGAATAAAAACTAAAGTTTATGTGTTTCTTTGTGAATATAAGTTTTTAGCCAGTAGTTGTAAATTCTTGTCGGGTCGGCACTAACGTCATACATTACAAAATGTTAGTTCAAAATCAATCCTACTGATGATGTGGCTATTTCAATGGCATAGAATAAAAACAAACTTTAAGTTTACCCTATATTCATAAAGTTTCGTCACCTAATAAAGATGAGAACATTTCAGCAACAGAGCAATGTATCGACTATATGAGGTGACTCCAATGTAGGGCTCATCTCATATAGAAGTCGACGAAAAACGATAAAGAGAAGGCTTTAGATAAGTTAATACAGGGTGTCTTTTGATCATAGATGTGTAGAAAATCTATCACCCAGCACACGTAAGATTATGAGTTGGTACTGTAAAATGTGTTTCCGGTAGACACGCGATAAATTCTATTCTTTCGGAATTTGTTTTCTTTTTCAACGACTGTAAATTTGTCAAATAAATTGTTAATCAAAGCATATTGAGTCAAGCATGATTCATTCTCGATTTAGAATTTTATCCTAGCTATAACTTTTTAAAAATTAAATCGATTAATTAACCACATCTTACACGGTGACCGTATACCGTGAGGACCAGATCGGTTTATTGTATAGCCTGAGAGTGTCCGACTTGATCAAAAATTTCCAATATCCACATCTCTCAAGCACATTGAACTTGTAGGCTTGAACGTTGGTTTTTTACTTAGAACATGTTAGTTGAATATCATAGTGTGAAACCGACATAAAATAAGATAACTTCGACGTAAAATGTACTCTTTCAGTACTGGTGCTTGTTTTATTGTAGAAACTAAATTAATGAGACTTTTATCTTTTGTTGGATTTTCGTACAATGAATACAAAAAAGTAAAAAAAAGAATGAAAGTAAAACGTCTATATAGGAAGTAAAAACTCATCTATTTCAAATCATAGCCATCTAAATAATTCAATAAATATCATCTGAACTTCATTATTACAATGTTTCAAAAGAAAAATACAAACGAAAAGAATTAACTACACATAAATGATCCTATCTCTTTCTTTGATACTCATTATATTCGATTTTACAATGATTTGAAAGTGACTCGAAAGTTTCGATACTATTCTTGTTTATAGCATAATAAATATGATAAAATCATGGTGAAAAATCTAAAACTGGGTGTGGCTGTGAGTGTAGCTGTGGGTTCACTGATTCATTGTCTCTACGCACCCACGCCCACACCCTCAAGATATCATACTAAGTAGTGTTCATTTTTCACTTAATCTGAAGAAAATAATAATTCGTGTATCTAAATTGTGTAAAATGATAAAGCAGATCCTTCAGTTTCACATTATAATTGTATCCATCGACTGATGACGATGTGGAACATTTTAGAAGGTACTTTACTCAAATCAAAAATGAACTCCTGTTAACAGAAAATTTTGAACAAGAAGAGTATCAACTATTGCATCTTGGTTGAATATGAAAAGTGAGACAATTATCCAAGATCAAAGGAAGATAGTTGAGAAATAACCTTCAATCTTTTAGAAAGATTTCATCAAGTGGAAAACGATTTTCCAATTGAATCTAAAGCAACATTTCATTGACGTCTTCATCATTTTGGCTTTTCTTATGAATCTACTGGCAAGATAAAACTTCCACTCGATAAGGTTGCCTTTATTGCTCAGAGAGCGATTTGTTTTCGAAGCATGGATGATTATGCAATACCAGTGCACTTGCTTTTTTCACAATGAAATCTCAATTAATGCCTATGTTGAAAAAACTTCAATGTGGATAGTCAGTAACGAACAGGGAAGAACAAAGAAGAGCTAAGAGAAATGTAGCTGTCTCAGCTTTATATTGGAAATAAATAGGGAATTGTGCAATTTTAGACTAGAATTGCAATATCAGCAATTATGAATACTAATGGGATTGATTTACCAACTGTTTATATATTTTCTTATTCAAAAGATCATTCAGTTGACCTTTGCAATGACAATAGTATGATAAACTTTATTTCCTACATTTTTAGCGTAATGTCTGAATCGAATATCGAATAGGTTCACCAATACGTATTTGTATTGCGAACTGGTTGATCCATGCAAACGAACAAAAATATATTGACGAAAAGAATAGTTAAAACAGTGCTTAAATAGTCGTGATATTCCTTGTAATAAAATATCGCCAAAAGCAGAGCTATTATAAATTGCATCATTCAACCGTCTGCTGAAACTATGCGCAATTAACTGTGGAAATCGTTCGGCTATCTTTCAGACATTGCTGTTTGACCCTACTGAGTTATTATTTGGGAATTTTAAAACAAAACGTACAAAAGAACAACATTCACTTTTGAATTGCTGATGCCCAAGCTTTTATTGTATAGTGTATTGCTGATTACGATGGCGATGCAACTAGAAATCACATCTAGTACTGAAGATAATATTGATTTTTGACATCGTAGCCCCTATTCTAGTCGCTTGATGCTGTTTGTATCATCTATTGGAATACTCGGGTAAAAAAAAGAACACCGATACGCGGTATAAGACAGCTATTCAAAATTAACAAAAATGTTTTCCAGCTCTAAATAAACAATATATAAATATTCCAGAAATACGAAATGTATAGTGCCTGAGACGAAGATGTATCACTGAAATCATTACACTGAGGCGAAAGAGATCATACAACTTTAATGCAGTTCACGAAAGCATTCTTGGGAACGAAAACAGAGTAATTATTCACCTATCTACTTATTTTCATACGTACCTGATTACATGAATTTTGAACAAACTCTATACTGGTAATCAATAAAAATTTAGTTTCAAATTAAAATAATTATAGATTCACTCATCTAACAGATCTTGCAGTATAGATCCGAAGGCTCTCTTTCCAACGTATATGTTAAAGTCAAAAATTAATTGCCGTCACATAGTGTTATTGTGCATATTTCTCGGAAAGATTTGCAGAAAATATTCCTCGGGTAATCATTTCATCTTACATAATAATATATTACAACACGGTCTGGTGCAGCCTCTTTGGATTGATGAAACCCGAAACTCGTCAGTTACTATCATTCTCGAAATATTTGTCTTACGTCAATCAACACTGAATTCTGGCACAGATAATAGTTTATCGCAAAATAGATAAAATGAAACAGCTACACCTTGTCTCCCATTCTAATCCCACAGGGATTGTTCTAACTTTACTTCTATCTTGCTTTTTTCATCCGAAACATTAAGACACATATTTCTATTTATTATCTTATCATTTTTCACAATTTCGTATGCATATAATGTTGCACAGAGATAAGCAATTATTCGACGCAAAATCAAGGAGATGAAGAAAGACTAAACATGTTTGCATATTATCTTTATTTTGTTTCTTTCTTTTTATTCTGAAACGCAGCTTCAATAAAAACACATATACTTCAGTGTAGAAATCATCAATATTGTATTTCATCGTTTAGACAATGGCATCTCTAAGTGGTAGTATGTCAAAACTTCACAGAAAAGTAGCATTAGTCATAGGCAATCAAAATTATAGCAAGAAGCCGTTGGCTAACTCTGTGAACGATGCCAATGATTTGGCTGATGCCTTACGCACAATTGGCTTTGAAGTCACTTTGGGTACTGATTGTACACATCAAAAAATGGCTAATTTGATCGACAATTTTGCTGATGAAATTCAAGATCAAGATTTAGTAATGTTTTATTTTGCTGGTCATGGTTTTCAATATAAAGAGCAAAATTATTTGTTACCAGTTGATGCAGATGAAAAAATAAAGAGAGAAACAAACATTAAATTTAATTCAGTTAATGCTCAAGAAACTTTAGAAAGTTTGTCGTCACAAACGTCATATGCCACTATCTTTATTTTGGACTGTTGTCGTGAATATCTGTTTGATGATACAAGTAAATTTCGAGGTGCAAAAAGTAGTGGTTCGGGATTGCACGCAATGATAGCACCAGGAGGCACTCTTCTTCAGTTTGCATGTGCTCCTGGTAGCTTAGCAGCAGATGGCGGTGGTCAAGATAGGAATGGGTTGTATACGAAACATTTATTGAAACAGATTGTCGTTCCAAATAAGCATATAGATTTGATCTTTTCCTCTGTTGGTGCTGAGGTTTATGAAGAAAGTAAAGGAAAACAAATGCCGTAACGCGTTAGTTCAATTATGATTCGCGAAAATATTTATTTGAATCCTATCGATGCTGATCCACAACCATCATATTCAGGTAATAAGACAATTAGCTTTTTGTTCAACTAGCAGTCATAGTGATTAATTGATACGTGAATAGCTAGTAATTCTCGTGCAGCTTTTCTATTGATTCTATTGATTAAAAGAGTTCAACTGAAAGACAACTTGAAGAAATACAAATGAAGAATTTCTGATGCTAGTGTAAGAAACCGAGACTATTAGAAAAAAACATCTTAGCTGTTTGAAAATCAACGATTATCTCATTATTGTTTGATACCATTTTCTGAACTTTTCAGAGACCTATTTGATCTTTTTCGTGTTCTTTTTCTGCAATATAAAATAGCACGTTTTAGAACTGCTGACTCGATTCCACAAAATAAATTTAATTTTTAACGAAACAAAAATGTTTCTCAAGTTGATTACTAGTGACTTTTATCATTTCCAGTCGAAGTCTCAAGCTTGACTTTGAAATTTTTTCCGCATAATTTTCGATTTGTTACAGATTTCTGAATTATACATATCTATCGTGTATATAGTTTCATTGTTTCTCAGAAAAAACCTGACGACAAAGTTGCGAATAAAAAGAATTTTGGTTTGTTATGATTGACAATAAATTCTAAAGAAAAACACATCACCGTTTTAGTAGTACCATACTTGAATGTTCAATTTAATGTCCACGCTGAGCATAGGTAGTAGATAAAAGATTTAAGGAGACACAGAAAGATGCCCGGGAAAGTATTAGAAAATATAAAAAGGATGATCACTTGATCATTAGCTTCCGCTAGGGATTTGCTGCTCATTGAATAACACTAAACAAAAGAAGACTGATAGAATGAGAAAATTGAAAAATGACTCATGTCGACAGAGCAGTTCATATAGTTTAGTCTTATGATTTTGATTGATTTCGAGATCATGAATGGAAACATCCTATTGATTTCGCACATGTATCTTAATCTTGTAAGTAAACCGATATTGAGAATGTTTTTTTTATCTACTTCACTATTTTATATACTTTATTACTACTTTAAAATAACTATTACTAGATTATTTAGTTCTGTCTTGTTTGGTCTCACATGAATAGAAGCCGACTTTAAAACTCATTATATATGTTGAATTTGTAAATAAAAAGAAGATCGAAACTATGTAGACTATGGGAGATGGTGTGTTGTAAGACAATAAAACTTTTCTTTTTTCACTTTGTAAAGAAATTTCGAAAAACAAAATTTGTAAAAATCAACTTAACACTACAATGAATATTAGTTAGATATATGAAGTTGAATAGATAGACAGAAAAATTTAGTAAGTATAACTCATACAAGTAAAAGCATCAGACAACTAAGCATTTTTAATGAATACGAACCGTTCATTATGTTAACTGATGCAGTTGAATTAGAACTCACATAAACATTTACAAATGGCAAATGTTGAGCTTATTCGAGCGTGCTTTTTTCCTATTTTACATCACTAGTTTTCTGTCTATTTATAATTCAAATAGATACTTTTATTTGTTTTTAAGTTAACATAGAAAATATAATCAGACTATATTTTATTTAAAAAAAATTGTATTTCGTCCGAAAATATCAATGAACTTTATTAGATGTAGCTACACACCAGTTCTTCTTATCAAGTCTCAAATCATTTTTGGATCAAATCAGCTAAAATTATCTTTTCATCAAAAAGAGAATGAATAAAGCATTTGACTGAATTTACAAATGGAATTATCATACTGATGACACAAAACAAAAGAATATTTCGGTATTCATGTATAGTTAGCTATTAGATAGAACACTTCTGTTGAAATATGAAATTAGCGATATATTTTGCTGTTTCATACATATCTGAACAGAACAATAATTTTGTTTTGTTGTTGTTGTTGTTGTTGTTTTTTCTTCTTTTCTTGTAAATCATCTGGAACTAATCGATTCTGATTCAGTGTCAAGCATCATTAATAAACATGTTTTTAAGATATATAGATATATATTTTTGTGTTCCTGCAACAAATCTGGATCAGATTTATTGAGATTTGGGAGAGATATCCTTGTAAAGAATATTCTAGTAGGAAGACATTTTCCTTTCATCTTTTTTTCTCTTTAAATCGTTGAATTTTTTTTTTTGAGTTTTCTAACTTTTGGAGAATCTACTTCAATTTCGATTAAGATCTGTATGAAATGAGTTGTTCTTACGTTTTCTCTTCTAGTTAATATTTCTGCTAATGTCATAGAATATTTTTTCTACACTGTAAACTAGAAAATAATTTATAGAGTAAAATAAAACATGTTCTTTAAAGAAGAACATCATTAATGAGAAAAATATGAAAGTATATAGGAATATAATTTAAAACACAGTATAGAAAATACCCCTTTATGGTTCAATTAAGAGAACAAAAAAAGTGTAATAAAAAATAATTTAAAGATTTTAAAATATTCTTTTCATCGGAAAAGACGCAATGTCTGATACTTAAGTTTAAAGATAGAAATACTACGTAATAGTCGATAATATATCTGTGCCAAGAAGTACGTCTCTCATGAAGTACTAGATTAAATAGGGAGTTATAGAAACCGCCGGACCTCCACTTATAAATCATAGAGCTAATGAACATATCGCCGTGACGTAATTAAGTTTACATTACTAATATACATCCTTGCATATGACAACGCCTAGTCGCGTACTGAACAGTACGTAATCTTTCTATGTATCTTTTCTCGATTGCTGGTATATAAGCTCAAGATATATTGGAAAAAAGAGCAGTATTATAAGTCACAGAGTTGTTAAAATTTCATTTGTGCGAAGAAAGAGTTATTAGAACGTAGTTGGAAAAGAGCTAGACGTGATTTGTATTGAGAAGCATACACATATTATTATCAGCGCGATATTGCTATCTTGTTTATTATAAACTCATTATTAAATAAATTATTACAAGTTGGTATTGTCCAAAAATTCTTGGTTTGTACCACTTACAAGCTTCGATAATTTTACATCGATTAATTATCTCGATATATACGCAATTCTATATATCTGAATACTCATCCCCTATCCATTCGAAATATTATTATCGATATTAATCAATATGTCGTTGCTAAACAATATTTTACATATACTATATGCCGTTTGCATGTCATTTTTGATCGCTTAATATTAGATACGTTCTACAAACATCACTATTATATAATTTAGCTGAATAGTTTTCACAAAAGAAAAGAGTTCATCATTTGAAACTCCGATTGAATGACGATGGATGTAAACTAATTTTCTTGAGGAGTTGAAAATAGATATCCAATCGTTACTGACGACTTCAAAAATCGCACGCTTTTTAATGTCAGTTTGCATTAACAAGACAATAATGTAATTATATGTTCCTACATAATTATTTAAGTTTGATTTTCGACAAAATAGAATTTAAATAGGTTTGAGAGAACCATATATGTTATATGTGTGATTGATCACACAATTACTATAGTGCAATTCTGTCGAATAATTCTTTTAATATAGCTTTTTCATTCATTTATCTCGAGTTTCCTTCTTATAGAGACTTATCACCGTCATGAGAGAATTTCATTTCAATAGAATAATCTTCCAATATAGAAAAAACTTTTTGTCGGGGGGAATTTTCTTGAATTTCTAAAAAAGAATGATCTATTCAAAGAATTTTGCTCGAAACTTTCGAAATTATTTTATATACTAGCTATACTCGAGAGAGAGAGAAATAGTAGCTCTTTTCTAATAATACAATCATTTCAGCGATAGAAAGAGATAGATTTCCTTTTATTCTTATGTTTTCTCTTCTAGTTAATATTCCTGCTAATGCTAAGTGGGCACACAACGGAGTGACTATTGCTGGAGGTCACGGGAAAGGCGATGCCACTAATCAACTCAACCGCCCTCATGGTCTCTTTGTTGATGATGATCAAACAGTGCTTATTGCTGACCACTCGAATCATCGTATCATGCAATGGAAGAACGGTGACACAACGAATGGACAAGTTGCTGCCGGTGGCAAAGGCAAAGGAAAGGGATTGCATCAATTGAATAGCCCAACTGATGTATTAATTGACAAAGAGACGGATAGTCTCATTATTTGCGATTGTGGGAATCGACGAGTTGTACGATGGTCTCGTCGTAGTGGTACAACACAAGGAGAAGTGCTCATCGATAACATCCAATGTTATGGAGTAGCAATGGATGAACAGAGATATCTCTACGTTGCTGACTACGGAAAAGATGAAGTAAGACGATATCAGTTGGGTGAGAAGAATGGCACTCTCGTAGCTGGTGGTAATGGTAAAGGTGATGAACTCAATCAACTCAACTACCCGACATATCTCTTTGTCGATCGACAACAAAATGTCTACGTGTCAGACGTACAAAATGATCGTGTAATGAAATGGAATAAACGTGCAACAGAAGGTATTGTGGTTGCTGGAGGAGAAGGTGGAGGGAATGCTCTGACACAATTGTATCATCCTCATGGGCTCTTCGTTGATACGTTGGATACATTCTATGTAGCAGACTGCTACAATTATCGTGTAATGCGTTGGACTCAGGGAGACAAGAAACAAGGCACTTTAGTTGTAGGTGGGGATCGTAGAGGAGAAGGAGCAAATCAGTTCAACTTTCCCATTGGTTTGTCGTTTGATCGACATGGTAATCTCTATGTCGCTGATCGTGATAATAATCGTGTTCAACGATTTTCTATCGAATGAGACTTGTGAATTGTTTTTTCTTTGTTCGTTTCCTTTTCTACTTTGAAATAAATGAAGGAAAGAAGAAATTTTCTCTTTCTCTCTCTCTCTCTCTCTCTCTCTCTCTTTCAAAAGAAAAGCAAAAAATTAAATATAAAATGATATCACGGTTTTTGTTTTAGCTCTATCATTTTTTTTGACAATGAGAAAGGAAGAAATGAATTATATAAAATAATTTGTTATTTTCGCTAAACATTTATTTCGTGAAACACGACCTGAAAGGAGTGTTGAAGTGTTTATGGTAGAAATTTTGTGCCCCGGCCGGCCGCGCCCCCCCCCCCCCCCCCCCCCCCCACACAGACCGTTACCGACAAGTAATCATCTGTCGGTAACGGTCTGTTATGGGGAAATTTTGTCGATCCCTGATCATTATAGTGAGGTGATTTACTCATCGCAGATCGTTGCTGACAGGCGATTTATCCATCACAGGCGGTTACAGAGGTGCTTTGTCGAAGTCGAACGGAAAGCAATATTGAGGTGTTAAGAGTACACAGTTGAATTAATTCCACATATATTTTAATTGATGAATTAGCTAATTACGGTATAATTAGTTAATGACCGATAACGGACCCTAACAAATAGGCGTTGGAACCATCACAAATGGGTTAGCAAATTCAGGGTGGATAGAGAGGAGCACTTATGATATGCTTTGATGAATAGTAGTGGACGTCGTCGTACGACCAAGGTGCACATGATGTTACAATATCAGCAAATTTATGACCTACTTGCATTTTTCACTTGTAGGTGATGTATTAAAGTATAATGAAAGAAAAAGTTCAGAAATATATAGGATAATTTGTTGTTCTGGTCAGAATTAACATTTACATCGTGTTTCACATTTTAATCCCAAAGGGATTGCGCTAACAGCTTTTCGTTTCGTTTCAGAGGTGCAAATTGGAATTATACAAATTACAATTATGCTCTTATTCATTTAGTTTTCGTTTCTCTTCTTTAGAATGTGTTCTCGTATCGATCAATAAGAATCGATCTACAATAACTATAATTAAGTACTCAATATTTTCCTTCCATTTCAGCTGGTGCAAATTCGAATGAAATAAATTAAATTCATTCTATTTCATTTTTCTCTAATTTAACATAACTAAGCTATATATTCTTTTTTTTCTTCTTCTTTAGACTGTGTTCGTATCGATCATGAACAATCAATCTAGTAAAATAACTGTTAGTAAGTATTCAATATGTTATTTTCATTTCAGTGGTGCAAGTGACAATTATACAAATTACAATTATTCTTTTCTTATTTGGCTTGTGCAATGGAGAATTGAAAGATAACTATTCGATTTTTATGAATGTATAGGCAAATAGTAAATATATTCCAAATTTATTTCTTTCATGTTTGGTTCTAGATCTTCTATTTTACTTTTGTGAAACACGACCTGAAAAGAGTGTTGAAGTATATAGGGTAAAAATTTAGATCCACCCCGCCCCTCCAGATCGGGACAGAGAAATTAATTAATTAGTCAATTGGATAATTAATTTCTCTGTCACGGTCTGTGATGGACTCTACTGACTCCATAGATCAAAATACAGGCCGTGACCGAAAGGTTGCATATATGATTACAGGCAGTGGCATAAAAACCACAAAGACTCACAGACCGTGGTAGAAAGGTACCAGGAAAGGAACTCCATCGTGTTTCACTTTTTAATCCCACAGGGATTGCGATAACAGTTTTTTTTTAACGGTTCATAAACGGCTAAGAATCAAACTGTATAAATGGGTATATGATGTTTTGTTGTGCAACTTAATCATTAAATGTCGTCGATTCAATCAAACATAAGTTTATGTCATTTTTCAAATAAACAACATACTTTTCTTTTCATTTCAGGGGTGCAAATTACAAATTGGCGATTTTCTTTTTTTGTGTCTAGCATAAATCTCTTCTTTTTTTTCAAGCTGTATTCGCGAATCAATCATACACAATCATAATCTAAAATAACACTAAGTAAGTATTCAATATCTTCTTTTTTTCATTTCGGTGGTGCAATTTGAAATTGTATGTACAAATGACAATGCTTTTTGTTTTCTTTATTTAACATAAAGAAACGAGATAGTAAATTTTATCTTTTGTCTCTTGTCTAGAATGTGTTCACATCGGTCAACAGCAATAATGTTATTAATATGGAAATAGTCAATAGATTCCTGAATTAATGAATGAAAAAATATTCCGATATATCATTTATTCATTTGATTTACTTTATCTTTTTTTTTCATTCTAGATCTTCTACTTTTTTATTTTTGAAGGGTTGACAAATGGTTACGAATTAAACTGTACAAGTATAAGTAATTTTTAAAATAAACAATATTTTTTCTTTTTCGCTTCAGACTTGCAACTTACAATTTTACAATTTTCTATTTCTCCTTTTTGTATCTAATATATAAATAAACTACATATTTATTCTCTGGTTTATAATGTTGTTCGTATATTAATCAATTAAAATTTCTTCTTTTTCATTTTAGATATAAAATAATGTTCCAGAATACTAATTTAATTATTTACTTTTTCATTTCTATGATATGTAGGCCAGAGGTATGCATGTTTTACTGTTTCTTATTCCTTTGTCCTATGACATCCTATCAGAGCGGCTTCGTTGCCTGACCCAGATTGACTCATCGTGTTACTCTGTTACGGCGAAGTAGTGTAGTACTCAGGAAGGCCCCCGATGTTCGTATGGTCCTGACGTCATACGTCATAGCAACGTTCATTGCCCTACCAGTCCGGCGTGGTCCGCTCTCTGTGTATCCGTGTCTGGACACACGGCAGGTCCTTCTGGTCGCGTGTGAATAGTAAATAATCAATAGTTATCAAAGCAATTTGTTTGAGTAAATACTAGAGAAAACAAACATTTACAACTTCTCTTTCATGACTGCTATACTATTCATTACGTTCTTAATATGTGGATGTGCTGAAGGAAGTGACTTTCGAAAGATATCAAGTGATTTTTCTAGAACTGGGAGTGCTTTCGAGTATTCACCCATGCTGGTATACACTTGACCGATGTTGTTGTATGAAGCAGCCAAATCGGGATGAGCCGGAGGCAAAGATATTTCTAAGATTTTAATTGGTTTTTCGTAATATTCCAGTGCTTTCGAGTATTCATCCATGTTGTTATACACTCCACCAATGTTGTTGTAGGAACTAGCCAAATTAGGATGAGTCGGAGGTAGAGCTTTTTTCGCTATTTCGAGATCTTTTTCATAATATTCAAGTGCTTTTGAGTATTCGCCCATGTCGTCATACACTCCACCAATGCAGCTGTAAGAACGAGCCAGATAGGGGTGAGTCGCAGGTAGAGATATTTCATAGATTTTGAGTGATTTTGAGTGATATTCAAGTGCTTTCGAGTATTCACCCATGTTTTTATATAATAGACCGATGTTACCATAAGTAGGCGCTAATGAAGCATCATCTTCTGGAAGAGTTTACCGCTTGATTTCGAGTGATTTTTCGTAGGAAGTAGCTGCTTCTTGGTATTTACCTTGATGATAATTTATCACCCCAAGCTGATGATAGACATGTGCTCTATCACTATCAGTAGAAATATTGTCGAGTAATTCATTGTAGAGTTCCTCAGCTTGATCGTAGTGTCCCACTTTTAGCATCAAGTTACCCATTCGATACCATCCAGTCGTACCTTGAACCTCCTCTTTGATGCAATCAGTAAGATCAGCCAGTTGTGGATCACTCTCATCAGTAATAGCCAATTGTACTTCCCAAAGGCGACTATTACTAGGGGTCTGTGTAATTTCAACGATGCGAAAAACACTGTGCATTGTAATAGAATTTCTTGTTCTCGTGGAAGAGCACTTTGTTTATTAATCATAGCAAATGGTGTGATTGAAGTTGATATTTTACTTGGATCTATTGTCATAATAAACGTAACACCCACAATATCTGGGTTTCTCTCTAGGGCGTCTTGAACAAATGATGTGGCCACTTTTTGTTTCTTACTAGTCGATAAGAAATTGTTGAATGAAAGGAGTCCACCTTTTGAATCCATTAGATTTTGAAAGTCTTCTTTGCTCAGTCCCTGACCACGATAAACAGTAAAAGCTGTTTGGAAACTTGCCGACTGCTCCTGATGTAATTGTTCTAATTGAAGATGAAGACTTCGAATGAAAAATCCTAATTTGCGCATCGCTTCCATATCAAGCGATCTTAACCCACGATTAAGCACAGCATAGAGAAACATTGGTTTCGTATACCAATAGACTGGTGACTTGTCGTGGTACTCACGCTTAAATTCACTTATTTCAGTTTCAGAAATATTCTGTTTTCGGAAAAACTTCACTAAAGTGTTCATAGATTTTTCGTCATCGTCATCGATTTCTAATATAATATCTTTGAAAATGATCGAGTACATGTACGATGGCGGTAACCGATCAAGATTGTTTTTATCCAATCCTGTTGCTCCTTCTGTCGCCGTTTGCTTCGGAACGAAGCTCATTGGAATTGAATCATGATCGCACTCATGGGCGACCTTTTTCAGCGATTCACATATCGGCTTGATGGAAGTGAAAACACCTCGAATCTTTGGCCAATCCTTCGACCATGATTCATCACGCTCCTTGTTGTCGCAAAAAACGTAAATGGCATCCACTTTTGGTATGCCGTGAATGTCATTTACAAGGGCTTGCCCTAGTGCTCCCGATGAAATGATGAAGGCTTTGCCATCATCAATTTCATTGAGAAATTCGACACACTGCTCTGGTGTCGTGCACACATTTACATCACTTACCACTGAACGTAATTGTGCCAGTGTGTTTCGGCAATCGTCATTGTTTTCGTCGATGTTGCCATCGACCCAAATAACCAGATAATTCTGAGCCATTCGACGCCTTGAGGGCATTGCAGCAGCTGATTTTAGCCCACTCATGTTGTTGCTTGATTAAAGGCGAGAATTGTGAACGCATTTTTGTTATTTATGCATAAATTGCGGTTTCTATTTCTATAGTCGATACCTTTTCTTTTTTTTCTCGATTTTTCGGCGGCATATAATCTGAGTGTTTTATGTCTTGTTGACACAACAAGAAACGTCGCCTGGTTTCAAAATTGAAAATACAATAGACAGTAAACAAAGGAGCGAACAAAAAAATTCCAACATTACTATTCTTTCCAACTTCGATTTTTATTCTTCTCTTTTTGGTAAGAACGAAAAAATTCTAAGATTTCATTTATTCATTTTGCTCTTTTCATTATGTATGTGAATTTCTTTATTAGTTCACCCCTCGATTTACAATGCTACGGAAAACTATCCAAAAACAAAACATAGTGAAGGAAAAAGTGCATTTACTTTACAATTATCTTTTATGCAGAAATTTTGATTTTACGGCTCTTCAAAAAATAAACCTATGAATTAGAAAATCAATACAAGTAAAAACATCCTCATGTTTTATACAGATCTTTTTTTTATATACTCTAAATTAAAATGTGTCGCATATATGTGTTGCGAGTAATAGTGTCGTAGGTTCAGTGTCGAAAATATGTCGCAATAGAAAGTGTCGCTAAAAAATTTGCCCCGTTCTGTGTGTCGACTATCTAATCGCGCTTTTCTATTTACATATAAAGATTACCAACATCTTTTCTATATGAGATATGACGAGTAACAGTGAATTTTATTATTGCACATTATTATTAAAAAAAGTAAATCACTTCAGACAAAGAAAAAAACATCGTTAAAGAACGAATATTTGCCGAAGCTATTTTATTATGATTTTTTTTTCTCTATGTGTGTAATGAGTGAAAATATGAAGTTAGAGTACTTTTACAATACATTGTTGAATCCAACAATTTACATGATACTATCGGAGAATATCAATACAGTTATAATGAATTCGAAATAAACGTTGTTTTCGACTTTCACAATTCGATGTTTACAGCAACTATAACAATAACAGACAGAGTATTAACGAGTGAGATAAATCGTTCGATTGAAGAAAAGTATTTTTAATGCATACTAATTATTGCAGTCTCTCAAATATGAAAATTTCATTCTTGAGAATATCCTTGTAAGCAAACAACTCCATTTCTTGTATTATTATTCTTTGCATTTTCGTTTCTTTCTCGCATGGTTTATTTTTTCGTTCTGGTGAGAAAAAGATCTCGGTTATTTTTGATTATGAAAATAAATTAATTCTCCAAAAAGTAGACGAAGACAAAAATAAAGATTAAATTTTCATCAGAATAACAACAATATGTGTCTATCAATCTATCATCGGACAAATTTCATATGAAAACTCATGTAAACTCTGCCACTAATTAGGTAGTAAAATTTTCTTTATTGGCATAATCTTAAGTTTGGAATTTGATAAGTATAACATATATATGATCTTTCACTGGATATTTTAGAAATATTTTCGTCTATGACAATTGATTTGATGAAAATTGATCCTAATTGAGTAATACATCATAAAAAATGTATTGAGATAGTAGATGTTTTATTGTCACTGTGACTGTGAGATATTAGTTGCTGAATTCTATTTATGACCATGACTCATGCTTTGCTCTGAATAGTTTGAATTCGAATTCTGATTGAGAATAAAATTGATAATGACTTTTTACTTATATCAAGTCTATAAATAATAAATTTTAAAATGAAACGAACCTCTTCGATTTATCTTGAGGGTGTGTGTGGGTGTGATTCTTTTGCTCACTTATATCACGCCCACACCCAAAGAGCATAACTAATGAGAGCCAAAGTGTTTATGATACATATGTTGAACAGAAGAAAAAAACAATTTGGTTACATACAGATAGCGAGCCGTTGACTAAATATCATGTTTGAACAATCAATTCAACTAGATAAGGAAAATATGGTGGCATGCAATGAACTCAATCGATAACGTTACAGGCATGTTCGAGGAAACAGTCACTTATCCTCACCCACGACACACGATAGTTTCTTGGAGAAATTCAATTTCCTAATATTCATGGATTCCCCGAATTGCTTCGATTCTGTGAGTTCAGACATAAAGCTCCATCATTGTAGTGTTGGTTTATCCTATTACAATTCAATGCTTTTGTTCTCATGCTTGATTTCTGTCATCATCAAGGGTTCAGAACTCAAAGAATCTGGTCACATCTCATATAAAAGAAAGGTTTTCTTGCCCCAGTAGCGAAGCGAGTCTTCTGAAAATTATCTGAACGCAAAAATTCTGATATTATTTATCAGGCAAACTGAGTTGCACTTAAATGTGCGTGGACCTTCAATGTAAAAATGATGACTACTACAACTACAATCTATCAAAACCAACAACAGTATTTTCTTCCGGTAAACATTTTTATGTTAAGATTCTTGAATATAATTTCTTTTTCATAAAAATAAAATGGTGCTGGGAGGTGTGGGTGTGAATGACAGAAAACTTGTAACCGTGAAGTTGTTCGATTCGCAAAGTGTTCAGTTTACATTTTTATAATAACTTGTCCTCTAATTTGAATGTATTTAAATCATTAGTTAGTGGGTAGTAGTATTGAAGGTGATATTATTTTGTGTACCATTGCTCATGATAGAACGATTTCGAATAGCTGTTACTTCAAATTTGTTTACTAATTCTGTTGATTTATTCACATTAAATACATATTCCACGTTCCATTTGATCAAAAACCAGAAACCGAGCAGTAATTGCCAGATGAGGCAAAGTACGAATGCGGCGCTTGAAATGATAGTAGCAATAATAATTGTAGCAGGAAACCAAAAGTGCATTTTGTAACATAAGTCCTCTGCCAAAGATTTTGTGTGGTTGTACTTCGTTGCGTCGGATAGTACCAACCATATAATATAGCGTATATAAAAAAAGAAAAACGGCAAAATGATATATAATAAAAATGATATAGATTCAAGAAAAATCGATGAGTTCCGTGCGGCCTCTTTCATGGACCAAGACGAATAAAAGCTTGCAATGAATGCGAAACATGTATCGACGAAATACCCTAGTGTATACAATGCAAAAAGTTTTCGCTGAGAGCAACTGATACATGTTATTATGGCAAAAACGATTGTAAATAATCCCAATCCCAGTGCGGCATACGCCAAGTACCAAGTCATAAAGCGAAAGTATAAGTATGAGATGAACATGCTGAAACAGACAATTGATTCAGAGTATAAAAACTTCACAAATTTGAACTTCGAGTTTTAATTTAAAAATTTTTTTTTTCTAGTTTTTTACTGTGTATTTATGTTGTTACCCCAGTGATGATTGTGCGGAATGGAGAAGCATTGTCGTCATGTGCATGTTGTTCTTTCTCCTAATGGTCGGTGTTTCTTGTGAGTGCAATTATTTTCTTACTGCCGTCAGTCAATCGATGAAACTGTGAAGCATGTTGGGATGTTTGAGTAGGCTGAATTCGATTGGGATTTCCACGAAAAGAGAAAAATTGCATGGCAATGCCACAGAAACTTTTAACAAAGTAAAAATGAAAAATAAACTAAAAAGTTATCAAGAAAATAAATGGAATCTTCTATTAACCTTAACCTTTGGTCGGAAAGAAAATGCTAACGTGAAAAAAAATGGAATGGTGAAAATCTCGATTGAGTCTTTGGTGTGAATTTTGATGAGAGTGAATTGAGGTTGGCGGTGTAGACTTGTGTGTGAGAATAGGATTATCTCCAGCTTGATCGAAAATAAAAATGTTGAAAACGAAGTAGTGTAAAGGGACGAATCTAAGAGGGAAGACAAGGATGGCATAATTCTTAATACCATACACTCTCATTTTTAGTATACTCAATCTTCTATATTTGTACTACTATAATTTTTGATATATTACGTTTTTTACATTTTTCCTTTAGAAATCAAGAGTTTTAGCCGAAATGCATAGCTCCCTATGGGCATTCACGTATATTTAACTCCCTCAAATGAATTAACTTCCAGTGAATGCATTCTATGTATAGCAGGATTGATTGATATGTATGACTATGACCATACTTTTGCAGCGTTTACTATGAACTGGCAGCACTGAATATCTGAGCCAGTAGAATGATGAGTTCTTAGTTAACATTACTGACGCTCAAATCCTTATTCGATCACTCTATTTTTTGTGTTAAATAAACTTTTCTAATGTTTAATTGGTAGGCAAGATCCATAGTAACATTTCTATTGAAACTCGGTTTCATACTGTTCTGTGAAGATTTCTTGTTTCCACTTAAAAAATATTTTACTTTTCAATTTTATTCCGACTCGCCAGCATTATTTCAATGATTTTTCAATCAGTTCTGAAGCTACCTATCATCTTTGAATACTCTGACCACATTGGTGCAAGAGATTTTCAACCGAAAGGCGAGTTTCAACTAGAAGTAGAAGCTGACCTTTTTTCGTTAATTTATTATTTATTTCTAAGTAGTTTCATTAGCTTAAATGAACCGGTGCCCGTTCAGCGAACACCCTTTCAACAAATATTTTTTTCCAATGAAAAAAACGAAAATGTAGGAAGGCAAAAAAAGAACCAGCGAAAAATAACGTCGTAAAAGCTCTTTCAACGAAATTTGTTTTCCCTCACGAGCTCAAATTACCTATATATGTGGATGAATTAGCATGGCGACTATGTGTACAAGTAACGACATTGAGGGTGTGGGTGTTGGCTGGGTATAGATTACATTTTTCGTTGTCGAAAATTTCTCTGTTTTGTTTTCGTTATTCACTCAAATGTGCTTTCGGCGTTGCAATTTTTCCATGAAATTTTTTTCACTCATTGTACTTTTTGCTGATTTATTGGTCCGTTGACATTTGAGGTCGCTGACATAGGCTTCATCTTCCAGTCGTTTCTCTCAAAATTTTCTCTAAAACTTGTTTCGCTAATTTGCACCTTTCCTGTTCCGATTGTTCGCGGACAAGTAATTGAACACTACGTATTAATAGAGCCAATCTCATAAATAATGCTACATCACCACACCATATTATGTAGACTAATAGCACTCGCATTAGATCGTGAAAGAGCGTAGTTAGAAAGTACGAACTTTTGTGAATCTTTACTTTTCATAATCGAAAATATGGATAGAAAAATGAATGAATAGAATTAATATATTACGTTTTTGCTTGTTTTAGGAAACTAAATGAAACAGAGCGTGAAGAAATCTGTTTAAATTTAGATATGTAGAATAAAGATTTATTTTGTCGAAAAAAATTCATATTATAATAGTTTAATCCTTGTAGTTAAACTCGATACGTAGAAGATATTTGAGTTTAACTTGATCAGTGTTGTAGACGATATATTCATTGTATAAAAGTGAGCTATATTGAATATTTGCATTTACTCCGTGGCCCATCGGAATAAGAACTCCATCGTCCGTATAATAATTTTCTAGAATGAACAAAAGTTTTTAGCTGTTGATAAAAGTTCGTTCTATTCACCTTTTGGATCAGGAATTGTTTGCCCACAACCTTTAGTTGATTGTGTATCAGTTGGTAAAGTTTCTGCTGAAAGACTTGTCGCATTATAACATTCGTACATTTGACCAAGAGCAACTTCACACAAAAGCAGCAAACCTTCAGGTGTATCTCTTTTAGCAAAGCAATAGTTTGCTAAATCATTTACAAATAATTATTCATCGGATCGTGAAGAAAAAGAGCTCACCGCTTTTAGAAACCATGTCAGCAAAATAGACACCTTTACCGAACATGTAACCTGTCTAAAATAAATGAAAATCTGAGAAGAATAGGTTTTAAAATAGATTCTATATTTTATGAAAGATGCGGGTGTGGGTGTGGGTATTGGCACACCTTCGTGCCACTCTTACACCCGCAACAAGCTTCACTAATATCTATTTTGTTGTTAATAGACTAACCATGGGTGCTTCAGGCGGGGCAATACGTAGTCCTTGACTAAGTATTCCAGCAAAATTTGTCGTTCTTGAACCATGCCATAATAATTGACGATTTTTAACGTTTTTCCATTTTTGAAAACGCTCATCTTCACTTGAGCGTACTACTTTAAATAATTCTTTTAAGCTTAATGTATATTGATTGTGACTTGATGCATGTGTATTAATCATATACTGTTCAATACGTTTGAACTCTTCTGCACTTTTATCAATCGACTCGATAGTACAGTTTAATTTTTTATAATGAACATCAATTGGATGTTCATTTTTTTCATCGATTGATCCTTTCAAGATTGAATAGGCTATTTCAATGTCCAACAGATTATCAATCATTTGTGTTTTCGATTGAATTAAATCGATATTATCCAGTAGTTTCGGTTTAGCAAGACCGAAATCATGTGGAATAAGTGTGTAAAATCGATTACTAGCATCAATAATCAACGTCTTATGTGTTGCACCACTACTAATCAATGTTTGCAATTCAGTAAGAACTTTATAAGCCATATTTAATTGGTTACGTGAAAGTTTACCTAATGGCATCTTAGTCAGATCAATGTCGAATGATAATAATGTTTGCTCCATTGTGCCAACATTAAAAATAAGACGAATTATATCTTGTACAGGTTGTGAAAGACGAGAAACATTTTTAGAATTAGGGTCATTCAGCGCTTTTTCAATCTGATCATTATCATCATGTTGTCCATAAACAATTTCAAGAGGATAAAGTTTATTTGGTATTTTTTTAAACGATCCTCGATCATCCCATTGATTACCAGTTTTATCGAAAAAGGTTCGACGAAATGCATCGATTGCTTTAGATTGTTTATTGTATTCGTCAACCTTTTTACTACCAAACGTTGTACCAGTCCGACCCGTAGAAAATCAAAAATAAATCAATAGAATAATATTTATTGTGAAAACAAAACTACTTATCACGATCGAAAAAGAAACCATTGTTTCCCAGTGTCATCTTCAAGTAGTTGAATTTTGTAATATGAATTCGTACCACAGGTTATATCTACCATACCGAGTACTGCCGCAAAAATACCACCATTTTCAATATCTTTCAATACGTGACAAGTTTCTTCAAGTCCTACAATGAATGATCAACACAATTCATTAACATAAAACGTCAATATTTAGAGAAACTCACCAGAATCAGGATCGACTGCAGCACCATCTTTTAATTTCACGGTAACCTTTTCTGGCGTGAATTTTCTTGAGCGAGCTAAGTTAAAAATTTGAATCAAAAGTATGAAACATTTTCGAATACAATTCTCACCAAAAGATTTGGATGTAGGCGATGATTTTCGTTTCGTTTTATTCTCTTCGCGTGCTTGCTGCTTTCTAATATGTGGTAAAATTCCCCAAGTTGATAACTTCAATTTTTCCATCACAATCGATGGTCGATCATTGAGAACGTCATTCAAGAATTGTTCTGGAACAATATGAATTTCGAATTTTTGTGCATCTTGAATCTTCTTACTGCCTTTCTGCACTTCATCTATTGAACACATAGAATAAAAAGAAAACATATTTACATTGCATACAAAATAAAAGCGAGACAACCTTGTGTACTAATGATGACATCGACTGATTTGTCAATAGTCGTAGCGATGGTTCCGCCTAACTCTTCGATTTGTTTATGTAAAGTACTCAATCTCTTTGATAAACGACCCACTGTTGCAACTGAATAGCTGTTCAGAGGCAAATCTGAATCGTAGTCAGGTCTACAATAAAATCACTAATCTAAGCCATCATAAACAAAACAAAAACGATTTACTCTTTAATCTCCACTGCTTTGCCAATCAGCTTCGGTTTCTGAACGACTTGTGTGATGATTCGATCTTGTTGTGTATATTTATAGTTTTGACTACAAAATAAATTCAAAACCAATAATTGCATCTGGAATCATCTTGAATTCAATCTATAAAAAGAAAGAAACTTACAAAATGTCGTAATTTTCTTTGATTTTATCCGAAATTTCAAATGGTTTTCGTTTAGGTAATTGTGTTGAATACGAACATTTTGTCCATTCGGTAACATTGCCAGTACAACGATAATTTGTATAACTAAATATTGAAGTTGACAGAAAAGATTCTCAAATCAAAATAAAACATAGTCTACTTGAAAACAAGACAACCACGACATTCTGGACACGGTTCAAGTGCACCGAATGCCATACAATCAGTGACAGCTTCAATGAGCTGAAATAATTGATTCAAGTAATTCGCGTTTCAAAAGAATTAAATAAATTACATTTGATTCTCCGAAAACCGACTTTTGACAATTAAATTCAAGTAATTCTTTTAGAACGCTGTTGGGAATCTCCTTTCGCAAATTATCCTTGTAAGTCCATAGAAGTTCACTTTGTCTCTAAAAGAAAAGGAAAGATATTCAAAACGAAAATGAATATAGAGATAATAACCTTCCTGCGACGTTTCTCTTCTTGGTCGTTCGAAGCTTCTGGTGTTGGGTCCTCGACTTTCAGTTGTTTTGCTTTGATGGATTCATTATTCGCCTCTGCACCCTTACGTTTTCGTTTTGACTTAGATGACGTATCAAATTTCTCTTTCAGTTCCATTTGGTCTTCCTTATTCAAATCGTTAAAACCCGAAAAACTTAAATGAAAAAGCATTTATTCGGCATGAATCCATTCAAGAATACGAACGATTCAGCGGTACCAACAAATCCTAGATCATTTTTCATCTGATTAAAACAATCCACATGATACCATTCATCAGTGGGCCCATAACGGCGTGCTCGTTTACTCGTGTAGTTTTTTCTCGATAATCGTAATATATCTTTATCAATTGATGCGTCACAACCATGGCAAGTACTTCGATTCGATTTAGCATATTGAACGGAAAACGTTTCATTTGGATCATTTTCGCCTGCGATAGAAGATAAAAATGTGCTCTATCGGTTCGTCACCTTTATCGCAATAGTAGTCTAGGCAATAGAAAAAACTTGCGTATTGCTTAAATTTTAGTGCTACAGATGAAAGAAAACACAATTCTGAGAACAGTGCAGCCTTCTTATAGTGTTACTCTTAACAGATTGGCACCCTTAATTATTATTATATGACAATATTTTGCGCTCAGTAAGTCTCAGACATGAAAATACATTATCATAACGACAATAGACTTACACGATAGTGCTGTAGAGTTTTCTTGAATAAGATGACGAATTGCATCCTGATCGTCCCATCGTAGTTCATCAAAACCTTTGATAATTTTCGGATCAATTAGTTTAACTTTTTCGAGAAAACAGTGAGAATGATACCAATTTGGAACCTTTTAAAAGTATTATTTTACTATTTTTTTTTGGAATATTATTATTTCACAGACTTTGCCGTCAAATTTTCCTGACTGAACCATAATTGCAAATCGAAAAGTATCTTTTTCGATCGCTGACCAGCAACTTTTGCACTTTGACCGATCGGATTTTGCATACTCAACTCGAAACGTAGAAATTCCGGCAGACATACGTCGGTCTTACCTTTTCGCAATGAAATTTTAAGTATTATCAGAGCAATTTTCTTCTACCATAACATACTTCATGTTAACATATACTTATGAAATTACATGGCAGAGTGTAATCAATTGTTGACGCGTGGTTGTATCCTACAGACCAATCGCACGAATACTCTTCAATTGATATATATGCACTATTGAACTGATGAACCTGTATAATTACAAGACACGAATACAATTATTCATGACGGTTAAGGAAGAAGTGTTTGATAGAAATCAAATGAATAGTATAGTGTTCATGTGCGACACCTATTTTGCAACTATTTGTAAAGCTTCTTTCTAATCACAAGATTTTATCATAGTTTTACATGACATTCAGATGGCAAAGAACTGATTGCAAATGACATTACTAATTTGATAGTCTTACTAGATGAAAGTATATAGATTTTTGACTTCGTGTGTGATCCACTTGGATTTGCAACCACACTCACCCTAACTACTTCTTCAATGAACTCAACTTATTCTTAGAAATTAATTATCAACGGCGATTCACCTATTTAACATTGTTCAGTAGCATTTCTTCATGAGTAGTACCACTACACCATGACCATCATACGAGTAACACAGCACATGGTCAATCAAATCAATATCCTCGGCCATTACTACTCGCTATCACTTGGTTCCTCTCTATAGGCTTCCATCTGATTATTACGTATAAATCAAACATGTGACAAAAAAATCATCCATTCGTAAAACTAAGCTCATATGCACACGCCACAGCTCAAACCTGTATACTTTTGAAAAAGTCACGTGATATATTCTGACATTTTCATTCAAATGAAACTACGCTTCAAAATATAAAGTGTTATTTCAAATTATTTATCTATTGGTTTTCTTTGTTCCATAGGAACAGGACAATTTTCATACAGTTCTTTTTCGGCCATTCTAATCATCATATTAGATTGCATTAACCATGGAACCAAACGTTGTCTAATTGAATGAACAAGCGGATTTTCAGAGTGAAGAAATAATCCCATATATCGTGCCATATTTACAACACGTTTTGTTCGATTAAACCGCTTCTTATGGTATTCTTGAAATGCTGGTTCCATTTGAAACTTATATTTCTCTAAACACTGTGCAAGCGAAATTGCATCCTCTATGGCCATATTTGCTCCTTGTCCAACATAAGGTAATGTTGCATGGCATGAATCACCTAATAAACAAATTCTATTACGGTGCCAACCGTCGTTACGTGGTTGACGATAAAATAATCCGAAATGAAGTAAACGCGTTTTATCGGTTGCTGCTGCACATTGATGAAAAGGATGTGATTGAGGAAATCTTTTTAAACATTGATTTAAGTCACGCTGATTATTAATTTCTGTCCATTCAAAATCCTCACTTGTTGACGGAGGCGCCATAGATGGATAAGTAACAGCCCACATGAGCTGCCCTTTATGACCAGCTCGATAGGTAATAAATTCTCCAAAGCCGAAATATTGTGTCATAGTATTTTTTGCTGTTACCAATGGATTAATCGATGTTTGTTGATCGATATTATCTATAATACCATAAAAAATATTTTCTTTTGAATGTACTGGCGCAGCTGTTTCAGTGAATATTTGTTTGACAACTGTTGAACGTATCCCATCGGCACCAATAACCATATCGGCGTGAACTGATTTTTGTTGATCTTCATTTTCAAATAAAAGTGTAACTCCATTAGCGTCTTGTTTAATATTTATCAGATTATGTGAATAGTGTAAATTATCACTTTTTTCTATTGGCTCTTTCAATATATCAACAAGTTCAGAACGAATTGCACCACCAAGAAAATAACCAAATCGTTGTCCATATTCACTTAACCTATCAGATGCAGCTAACAGTTCTCCGTTGTCACCAATTATTTGCCATTTAAGAAAAGGTTGAATAATTTTTTTCACTTGATCTTGAAAACCAATAGATTCAAGTGATATTTGTCCATTTGGTTGAAGGCCAAAAGCAGCACCAGAAGTTGGAATAAAACAAGGAGCACGTTCATATAATGAGACGGACATCCCTATTTGTGATAAACTGTTAGCTAGAGTCAAACCACCGATTCCTCCACCAATGATTGCTACTGAACGAGCGGTTGCCATATTTCTATCGAATAATTTCGTATATTCAATAGCTTATCTAGAAAAATGCATATTGCCCATGTGCACCAAAATAGAAGCTAATATTAAATTTTACTATCACGTATGGAATTCTATATTTTCCTAGACATTTCTGTATTTTTCTCGAGTACAGATTCATTCGAATATAGTGATTTCAATATTAATCATTTTAACATATGACATAAAACATACTCTTTGATGGAATCCGATCATAAGTAAAGTTTCAGACAGAATTTAATTTTACAGAGTGAATTTAAGTAGTATTGTTTGATAAATTGTTTTTCATTAAATTAGCTAGCCAATCTGCAAAAATAAATAAATGATGAAAAATACTGTACAAGCATCACTATTAGGCGACAGAGAGATTATGGGAGTTATAAAGTTAACACATCTATGTTCACCTTTTTCACAATAGCTAGATGAAACTAAATGATTTCGTCGTATCTGTTTAAATCGAATATGCGAAAAACTTGAAAGAAAATGATCTTTATTCATAGTACTATTTCACAAGAGAATTTCGAATCATAGAATGTAAAAGGACAAAATTAGTTATCAATGTCTATTTGGTAACCAATCACAAATTCAAGTTTGCAATGCATATAGTGATGCAAAAAAGATCTACTGCTGACTGATTAAATGAATAAGCTTATTTTTTTCTAACTATTCATAAGTGCAGTATGTGAATCATTTTTTTTTTGAAAATATTGACTGGAATCATTAGCGCTTATATTTGGACTTGTATCAGCATCATATTAGAAATCATATCTGATCAATATCAGTCAGGCCATTTTTACAGAACTTACAGATGACGCACTGTGATAACCAGTTATACTGCTGAAACAGATGTAGTACTGATTATTTTTCAAAATTCCAATAGTTATATATTGATTCCAGATGAATAAGTACGATCCGATCTCGACAGAGAATAGTGAGAAAAGCCGGAAGATAGAAACAGTATGTCAACTTGAAAACACCACAAACCACCGGAACTGGATATGAAATGAAATGGAAGTAAAAATTAACATTCATACCGACACACCCAAGATTATAATATTACATTATTTTTCAAAAATCTACAGAAACAAAAAAAAAGTCACAACCCTTTGCATAATAGTTTAGTCAAGCAATTTATATCGATGAATAGATATACAAAAGCCAACATTTTCGTTGTGTACGTGCTCTCACTATAAAAATAATACATGAAAATGCTTTTTCAATAGAATCATTGATGATAGCTGACATATGAGAAAGATTTACATTCATATGGTTATCTATTCATTTGAATATTTATCACAGCTGTAGAAAAAAAAATTGGACTGAAATATTTCATCGATTAACTTTATCTTTTAATAAAATTGAATGAAATCGGAAGCAATGGCTTACTTCGAATAAAGCAATAGAATTGTCTCGATATGAAATGCTCTTCATTGTTGAAAATAGTTTATTGTCTTTTATTGATTAGTTCAATCAACAAAGCTTCTCAAAGAGGATCGTGATATTATTTATTTTTACGATTTATTTCTGCTGTAAATGTCAAGTATTATGGATATTCAATTTTTTTCTTCTTTCTTTTTAACAGAAGAAATGCTATAGACGTATAAAAGCTTCAATGTGTATGACAAGTTGTGCCTGGGATTTTTTTTACAAGAGAATCGAGGTAGACATGATCTGTTATTCGAACATCACTGACATCCAAAGTTCTGCTGCGTTTCTGTTCATTGGCTGGAACTTTATTTTCAAAGATATTTCAATAAAACAAAAGACAATATAGTGAATATACCGTTTAGCTAATAAGAAGACATCAATGAAAGATACTTAATGTTGCGCTTCGTTTTAAATTTAAAACTCGTTCACGAAAACAAGCAAAACTAAATCAAATACATTCTGCGTAGATTAAGAAGTCGAACGAGGAATATAAAAGATGATTAATAGAGAAAATTGATGAAACACTATTGATTTATTATAGTAATGGGGTATAATCGTACCTAGTTTCAGTGGCAAAGCAGCGATCTCAATATGTTCCAAATTCAGAATTTCCCCTATTTCTCAGAAGATCTGGCCACCCTAGTGTCGATTCTAGAGATGCTATTTTTACTGAAATGAATGATGGATGTATTGGAAGCTGAGTAAAAAAATGAAGTATCGACTTTTACTTTATCAGGAAAATATAGTATTGTCTTACACCGTATTACTATTGTTTTTAAAATGATAGCAATGTGTCACACAATCGATTAAAAATCATTATATTTTTATCTCTAAATGTCATTCAGAAAGTGATCTTAGATCGAGTTCGAATACAAAAAAAAATACGGAAATATTCGATCGCTGCAGATTGTTAAGAAAAAAATATAAAAACATGATCGTTTAAAGTACCCAATCGGAATGTGGCTATTTCTTTGTTTGCCCTACTATCGACTCCGCTTTTTTGTTTATCTACGAGTAATCAAACACCAAGAATCACGAGGGAAGACGATAATTGAAAAGATTTGCTTCTGGCGTTCTTTTTCTTTCTATCTGTTGTGCCTTTTTTTTGTTTTTAATATATCGGCGTATAATCTTCAGTTGACTTTCACTAATAATAACAACAATGTCCTTTTATTTTAATTATTATATAAAATGTGCGTACTAGATATTCACTTCTAGTTGTGATGAAAATGCACTTGAAAATGAACGAAATCCTTCTACTCTTTGTTGGATGGTTTATTCAAGCTAGTCAGTATTATGTATTTTGAGAAGAAAAGAGGTTTTCATGCGCTTTTATTTTGTAGGTTTTGAATTATCATGTATACAATGTACAAGTCCAATTCGACACAGTGCACTAAATCCAAATAATTCTTGTTTAGATGGTACTTTAGAACCTTTGCCGTGTTTTTCATCAAACAATGGTTCCAATCATGCTTTCAAAAGTTGTATGTCTGTTCTTTATAGAATGGGATTTTCAAGAAATGGAGGTAATAAAACGTTTTTGTAATCATTAAAAAAAACAGAGTCACCCGTAATATCAATTAAATATTTTCAGCTAGAAAGTTTTCTGCAATCATACATCGTACACTTCCTCCACCACATTGTTCGATAGTTGATACATCGAAATAGATTAATTTAGTGTTGGTTGCTTCAATAAGATTTTTTTGCTCGTTAGTTAATGAATCATAAGCTGTCTTTGACATAGCTAATAAATAATCACCTTGCTTATTTTTTACTTCAAGCATATTACCAGCAAAATTTTTCAATTGTTCAAGTGTAATATTAATAATTTTCCTTTTTCCATTTTGTTCAAGAGACTTTACGATAGTATTTCTTTGTTCTTGATCTACAATCGATTCTAAACATATTATAGCTACACGTGTACCAATAGCCATGATAACATTTGTATGGTAAATAGGTTTTTGATTATCATCAATACTATCGAATATAATCGGAGGTTGTTGATAATTGATTAATTCAGTAAAACGTTGCACAACAGTTTCATGTGTGCGTGGTGATCGTATAGCATAAAGAATTTTATTTATACGATCAAGTACTAATGAACCTGTACCTTCAAGAAATTGATTTCGTTGTTCGTATACACTTAGATCAATAATAGCGGTAACATGATGCGTTTGACATAGGTTTTTAATGATATCTTGCCGACGTTCGATACGACGATTTTCTGCAAGCATTGGATAGAGAACAATTGTTCCATCGGAATGTGTTGAAAACCAATTATTGGGGAAAATTGCATCAGGTTTTATTGGTGACGGTGTATCATCAATTACATCTACATCAACACCATATGAACGTAGTTGCTCGACCATATGATCGAATTCTTTTAGAGCTTGCTTTGGAATTTTATTTGCTGCTGATGGATCATCATATTGATCTTTTTGAAATACATTCGAACTAGCTGTTTCTGTATTGAAACAAAAACAAGCCGGTCGAATCATGATAATATTGCTCGTTGATTGAGTCAAAGCCATTGTTTTAAACATAGTAGGAAGAGACATGAAAACTATACTTATATATTACTGTTTCATTCTTTGTTTTCATTTATCGTTCTCGGCGCTCCCGGTAAGACAAGAAACGAATCATCTGCGCATTTTTATTCCTATTACGCACATGTACTTTGTTGAATTAAGCTTTATTTTTGTTTTACCTAGGAGTATTTATTCAACGTGACTGTTCTGCAATTTCGCAAACACGACAAGAGTGTGATCCACCGATGTCAGCGATCGATATACATAAGACACTAGATTTTTTTTGCAGTTATACATGTCCGCATGATGGTTGCAATCGACATTCGATTGAAGAAATAGCTTCAAAAGCTAATAGAAATTTTGAAACAAAAAATATATTATTTAAAATGAATTTCACTATTTGGATGGCACTCTATTTATTTTTCATCTTTTTTTCTTGAAGTAATAAATCTTTCTGTGTACCTTTTCTAAAACTTATAAATAAATGTCATGGAAATAAATACAGGTAAAATTGTTCTCTTTGAATTTGATAAAAATACAAAGTAAATAAGCCATATTTTAAAGAGTCAAATAATTAATTAAAATTTTCTTTCATAATCTAATCTATTGATACTTTGTACGGAATTGAGAACCATCTGCTATCCAGTGTACACATAAAGACTAAACAGTTCTTTAAATGTATAAGGAACACCTCTCGATAACTCTTAAAAAATTCTAAAGATTATTCACAATGTATTTAATCTATCAAGTTCGAAAGCAAAACGTTAAGTTCAACTGAATCGTTAGCCAGAATATTCAGTTGGGCAGTAGCCAGGTCCGTTGACTGGTGCAGCTGGTATACCTCGTCGTAAGTATCGACAACGATGCTCTGCAAGTCTAGGAGCTGCTTCTATTACATCATTTGTATCGACCGATGACCATAAACGCTCGGCGGGTGCTGCTGCTCGAGGCCATGTGCTTGATATGACGTTCGTTGAATCAACATATTCTACATCAATGAAGAACAATATAGAAATATTTTCGCATCCGTATGTGTTTGTTTTTTGCAAAAAACGTACCGCCCCACATACAGGCTTCACCACCCATGACTAATTTCTTTTGTTCTTCGGTCCCTACATGAACAACAAAATGATGAGTAAGTTAAGATCGATATAAACAAAAAACAGTTTACCTGTGAAATTGTATGGATCACATTTGTAGTATTTATGCCAATCGTCACCATATGAAATAAGATTCAAATACCTAAGCAACACGAATACTTTTGATTTCAATGAAAAACGAAACTGTAGACAATCTGATTTTTTCTAGTCTTTGAGTAAAATATGTCATGAGAAATGTGAACCATTCTAGGACACAATAGCCTTTTCTAAATTACAAGGATAGCTAGTTGCATACCAGCATGATGATAAGAGGGTTTTATAACCTAATTTTGTTACTCGAGCCATTTCGTCAGGATAGGGTTCCTATACAACGAGAAAAACGATAAGCGATGATTTTCGTTCAGCATATACGTATTGGCAACCTTCCAAACTTCAACAACTGTATCAGTTTGCAACGTGACATTATTATCAATAATATCTTGCCAGACAACATAATTCTTTCCAGTTGCATTTACAATATTAATTAATCTATAAGTAAACTGTTGATATCTACGAGTCAAAATAGCTCGTTCAATAATATTACGTTTGCATAAAGTACTGCTCAAGCAACGAATAGTTTGTTCCGAATTCCATTTGTCTCATGAATTGTGTTATGGATGGATTACTTTCCCTAAAACAGAAGAATTTTTTAAATCAAAATCAATGACTGAATAGATCTAACCAGCAATCAAAATAAACTTCGTCAGCACCCAAATGAACATAACGATCGGGAAAAATCTGTGCAACTTCATGAAAGAAATTTTTAAGAAATTCAAATGTTGCATTTCGACTAGGATCCATCGGTCCCAATTTATTATTTGGTTTTTTTTCACTATAACATTGAGTCAATATATCATATGCTCTACCCCATGATCGACTATGAGCTAAAGCAAAATATGAAAATCTATGTGAGCATAGTCTTCTATACAAACCTGGTGAATCAAATTCAATAAAAACTCGAATACCACGTTGTCGAGCAAATTCGAGTAATTCACCAATATCAGCTTGAGAATAAATATGATTTCGGTCGAATGCTCCTTTACCACTGAGTTCAGGATAGGTGATTGAATCATACGGAAAAGATTGATCGTCAACAATATGAAAATGAAAAACATTCATTTTACTTTGTGCCATTGCTTCCTAAATCAAAATTAGAACCATTAAAATAAAAGAAAATATCAATGCAGATTTTACTAACCAAATTTATTTTAAGCGTTTTTTGCGAAATAAAATGTGTCCCGGTATCAAGTAAAAACCCGCGATGTTGAAAACGAGGAAAATCATAAATAGTAGTTTCATTAATGGCAAACTGTAGTAATGAAAAATAGATTAATTATAAAATATCCTTTGATTGATTACTTGGAGATCGCTATCCGGATAGATAAGCTGACTGAAAGTTTCTAGACCTCGCAGAGCACCCCATACAGATACAGCATCGAGTAGAGCATGTCCTTCTTTAACAACGAGCGTATCTAGAATGAAACATAGAATCATGTTTTCTGAGCGAAGCAGTCAGATTTGCGGTAACTCTTTCTTTTTTATTCAAGTCTCTTACATGATTCATTCGATTCCAGACGTGGCCATTCTTCGCATGGTTGTTCAATATTGACAATTAATCGTTTAAGCAATGTTACATCACCGAGATCGGATACATTTCTCAATGCTTCTTTTAAATGATGAATTTTGATATCTGCTAAGAGTGGATCAGTCAAATGTAACATATATGTTTGTGGAAAGAAAATTATTTTATAATATCGATCGAAAGCATTGCGTAGTAAATCACATTGTTGACTTGTCTCGTTTGTCAAAAAATGAAAAGCAGCTGGATGAACAGCAAAACGTACCGATGTTGTCTGTATTGATTGAGGTTTAGGCCATGGCTCTCCGACTGTTGGTTTGATTGAAATTTCATCGAGCTCAATTTGCTGTTGAGTATTTTGAACTAGTGGAATGTAAGCGTAGATGAAAAAGATGATAAATGTAAGTTGCATGGTCAAAATAGTGTGGTGTGTTCTTTAAAAGCATTAAGATATTATTTTTCGAGATATAGACAAAAGACGATAAGAAAGGACGAAAAAAAAGAATTCTTGTTGTTCTGTTACAAAAGATATCATGATCAATGGGTTGCAGGTCTTCAGTTTGAGGATGTGCGTGCACATGGAACTCTCCTATTTACTCACAACTATACTTTGAACTGAATAAATAGATATAATCAGAGATGGGTGAGTCAAGTCAAGTTAGGTGTCTTTCACCAACGATAATGTCTATTAGATTCTCTCAAAGTGTGGCTTTATATTTCGACAACATAGATCAAAAATGTCAAGAAAGACATTACAAATACTAGCAATGCTAAAATGTAATCATGGATTAACTTATTCGGTGAATGAAGTTTTCATTCTTTAATAAGCAAATTAACAATAACATTTTTATTTTCAACTGTATGATGCGTCGAATGTCAATTCTTATCTTTTCCATCGAAGGTTATATTTTGCACATAAAACTTTGATTAGAACGAACTTTCAAACACATCAATACATACATATCTTTCTGCTTGTCGTTGTAATGATCCAATAATCAAAATAAGATAGGGTCCTTGTCTTCAAGTATATTCGTTCTTGAATTGTTATTATTATTATCGTCTGATTAATTCTTTGACTAAAGATATTGATGGTAACAGGTGTCGAACTAAAATCAGAACTAGTTCAAACAGTGGGTAATGATGGTAATTTTAGTAGTGCAGACCCAATTTTTTCGAAAGAAAAGTCTCCATCAGACATTCGAGCATTCAAAAATGTACTCGTGATCTGCTTTGCATTCTTATTGCAATTTACTGCATTTAGTGCTATTGCAAATCTTCAAAGTTCACTCAACACCGACGCCAATGTTGGTGTTAATTCATTATCGATTATTTATGCATGTCTTCTGCTCTCAGCTACATTTTTACCACATCCATCAATCGCCACATTTGGTCTTAAATGGACTATAGTAATATCTCAAATACCGTAAGTATTAAATTATATTTCAGCGAAGAAGAAAGAATATGAATTATTGGATTGGTTGACTTATTTTCGATAGATATCTTCTATATATGGTCGCAAATTATTATCCCAAAGCTTATTTCATGTATCCAAGTAAAAAATAAAACGATTTGATTGATATTTTCGAATTCTGTCTCCTTCGTTACTAGCTGCTGCACTTGTTGGATTAGCGGCAGCACCTTTATGGACATCGAAATGTATTTATCTGACAGAAATGGGTTCAATCTATGCGTTCGAGAAAAAACTCGATAAGAATATAATCATCAATCGATATTTTGGCATTTTCTTCATGTTCTTTCAATCAGGTTTGTCAAAATAATGTTTCCATACGATTCTGGTAGAGTCGATGTTTCGTATTTCTTCCATCAAACAGGTCAAATTTGGGGTAATCTTATATCATACTTGGTATTGATGCCAGAAGAGAGAATCTATGCTATCAATGGAACCGAAAATAACAGATCATTAGTGTTCGAAAGTTATGCGAAATGTGGAGCGGATTTTATTGAAGAAGAATATCAAGCTGTCGAGGATACAAATCGTATTGATCGAAAAACGGTAGGGAATATATTTTTGGTTGCAAAACCCAATAGAATCATGCTTTAGATTGATATTCTTTGCATTATATATATTTGTATATGTGTCTGCTCAATTTTGATAGTAGCTGTTTTTCTCGATCAACGACGCACTTCATCTCGTGGTAGGGCGTTACCATGCAAGTTTTCTCTCATGTTATTCGTTGAGTTTTATACATAGATCGAATGTCAGTTATGTTTTGTAATTCTATGAAATTACTCGTGTCAACAGTTAAACATTTGCGTCATATCAATCAACTTCTTCTGATTCCAATTACTGTGTGGTCGGGTCTTGAACAATCCTTTCTTTGGACACAGTTTAGCAAGGTAGATTAACAAACTTGCTCAATTTTTTCCTCTGGTTAGGTAATAAAATTTTCTTTTTATTCATGTTTTATAAACAGGGTTTTATCTCGTGTGTGCTCAATGCCAAATATGTCGGTCTCATTTTGATGGTCTATGGAATATGTGATTCTATTGGGAGTTTTGCTTTTGGTCAGCTTGTGAAATTAGTCGGACGTTGGCCTTGCTTTGCTTTTGCTGCGATTATTAACTATGCTCTAATAATTACGATGCTTGTTTGGCATCCTTCGCAAGACCAAATCGCAGTTCTCTTTGTTTTGGCCGCTCTTTGGGGTGTGACCGATGCGATTTGGCAAACACAGATCAACGCTTTCTATGGAGTTATTTTTACGGAAAATCGTGAAGCTGCATTTTCAAATTATCGTCTCTGGGAGTCGACTGGATTCGCTTTCTTCTATATCATTACGCCTTACATTCGTGTTCGTCTAGTACTCATTATTCTCGCTATATTTCTTTCATTCGGCATCGTTGGTTATACAATGACTGAGTATCGATCGCGAACATTGGAAGAAACGAAGGATAAGGCGAAAAAGAAAAATACAGTATCACCATCATAGAAGATGTTAGACAATCAAGGAATTGAAAATGCAACAGTCTTGTGTGCTTGAAAGCTATATTGTAATAATTTCTGAAAACTTTTTAGTGCGTTGAGGTACGGCATTTTTTTGCTTTCACTCTCTTACAATAAATAATTTTTCAATGAAACAACTTCTTCGCAATCATTTCTCATATTTTTTTAAATATTGAAAAAAAAATCCTCCAGTATATTGATCATGGTGAAATACTTCAGTATTTAAATCAACAACAAAAAGATTATCAGACTAACTTTACAAATTCATTAATCATACCGAGGAGAGCAAGAAAAAAGTACTTGATTATAAGTTTTTCTTCAATGTTATCGATATTTAATCTATCTTGTTAATAGTTTAGAATTATTCAATGAATGATGCAAGAGAAATTCATACTGAATTCATAAGATAAAAACAAAATTGGATTTTCAATAATTGAGTGAATAAAAAACTGAAATATATAGTACTCGTTTGTACATCAGATACCACTAATTTGAAAGACGAAAAAAGCCGATTACCTTCTTTTGTATGATGTGGAAGCTAATCTATTTCATTCTAATGATATTAAAATGTCTTGCTTTTACAAAGGGAAAAACCCCAACCAATACCGTCAATAAACATATGTGCATCATTGACGGGTACGCTTCGGTGCCCATCAAATCGTGTTATTATGATTAGAAGTGCTTCGCATGGTGTTGCAAAAATATGCGACTCATGTACTTATTCATCCGACGATTGTATTGCGAATGCGATGAGTATTGTAATATGTACAACAGATAGTGCTCAATGTGAAATATTTGCAAGAAAAAAAAGACTATCAGAATGTAACGATAAATACAATGATAATGTTCATATTGAATACGATTGTGTTCCAATATCAATGACTGATGGAAAAAAAGAGTATACGATTTGTCAAAACAGTACAGATATAACAAGTGATTATGGTATCATAAGAAGTCCTGGTTATTCAAGACAGTTTCAAATCACAGCAACAATAGTCGAATGTTTTCGTTCGATAAATGTACCAAGCAATAAAGCAATTCGTTTATGGCTAACTGATCGATATATTGGCTCAACACCTGAGGATTGTACTCAAGGTCATGTCGATGTTGTTGATAGTATTCGAACCAGGGTTGCCAACTGTTAAGGTTCCGAATGAGGTACAGAACGTCTCCAATGGGGTACACATGGGGTGCAATTCTTTCCCTAATGTGGTACGCTCGTTGGGTACAAAGTGTTTTTTACAAGGCAAGAAATTGACGCCACGAAACGGCTGGCAATAGCATTTTTAGCGAAAGAAAGATCACATTAAACTGCCTATGTGCAAGTCATGATCTGGAATGTTTGTTTTCAAATAAAAGAGTTCGCAGTTATTGCTGTTTTCAACATTGCTCTGTTCAAAAGATAAAACAAAAATGTTTATTTAGAAAAAAAACGCTCTGTATTCACATTAACTGGCGCACATTTGTTTTTCATGACGGTATTGCTGTTTGCTTTTGGCAAGTTTGACCATTTCTGGTTGCGACTGTACAAATAAATAATAATCTTCACATTTCAGCTTAGTATTCAACTTCAGCCTAACTTTTCATTCAGCCGCAATTGTCTCAGTTGACATCGAGTTTCGACTTGGTGTCCATGCGCGCTTCATATGACTGAATCACCACCGAAGCAGACAAAAATTTAGAAAAGCACGTTTAAACGTTTAAAATGGGACGGCCATTGTGAGCCACTAACGCTCATTAAAAACCCGCAAGAAAGGCATTATGTATTCAAAACATTCATTTTTAGAGCGGAAAGCCGGCGAAAAGCTCCAGTTTTTAAGTGCTAAAACGCATTGTTTTTACATTATAGAATAAAAGTGCGCTTTAACGCTAAAAACTGAATTTTCCCGTCTTTTTTACGCTCTTAAAGTACAAATTTTGAACATAAAATGTGCTACTTCCGGTTTTTAATGAGCGCTAATGACTCACAACCATGGATCTATTTTGAGCGATTAAACGCGTTTTTCCAAATTTTTGTCTGCTGGGACAGCCGGCTAATATGATCAACACTTTTATCTCCACAAGAAAAACGATAGTTAAAGCCAAAAATGTCATTGATTTCAATCGAAAGATGACTGATATATATAGTGTAAAGGGAAAAGCTCAAATGGGGTACCGATTTTTTTGCGGGATACAAAAAGTTCAAATGGGGTACAGTTGGCAACCCTGATTCGAACGTATCGACACTATGCACATGCACGATATATTTATTCAATATTTTGTTAGAACACATTCATTAATATATCGTGGGATGAGAATGTATTTTGACATAGTAGATCAATCGAAAAATGATGCTTGTCTCAATCTGGATGGAACAATAACATCGTTACCATCAGAAATAAGTATTCGTCAATATCAAGCTACCACTGCACCTGTTTATGCTACACTTGGGATAGCATCATCAATTCGAATTTTTTAACTGTGTCAAGGTGAGGGCTGCGTCGATACGGATACAATTTGTATCGCCCATCCACATCGTGTCTATGTTACATTGTTTCCATATATATATCCCTGAAAAACCTAGAATTCATGAATCATGTAACGGCATGTATCGGCTTGTATCGGCTTGTATCGAGCCTCTGTTACAATGCATCCATATATATACCCCTGAAAAACCTAGAATTCATGAATCATGTAACGGCTTGTATCGGCTTCTATTGAGATTCTGTTTCATTGTATCGATATATTGTAACACAGGCTCGACACAAGCCGATACATGCCGTTACATGATTCATGAATTGGAGGTTTTTCATAGGTGTATATCTCGATACAATGTAACATAGATACGATGTAGATGAGCGATACAAATTGTATTTGTATCGGCGCAGCTATGCTAAATACAATAAACAAGTATCTAGGAGTATTTATCATAGTGAAGAATATTACTATTGCATAAGAAAACGATCGATCTCCTCTATAGAATTTTTTGCTTGTTAAATTTGCTTGAACAATCTATGAAAATATTTATCAATGCAAACATAATATTCCGTAAAAGTATTTACTGTAATTTCTTTATACATATTCGCAAAAACTCGGCAATAGCCATTACCTAGTGTACGATGAAGAATAGCACCGCTAAATTGCGATGCAATTGGAGGTGTTCCAACAATATGCACTATTGGTACCATTTATAGCTGAGACTGCACCGACATCGAATGTTGTAACAAGAACCTACAAAATTATATTAAAAAAAGGAGAAATGATAGAATATTTTACGCTTATGTAGATGAAATTACGACAACACCTCGAATACGAGCGTATCCATCGGACGCATAGGATGAATTCAGTTCATTACAATTATTATCCCATTCGATGTTATCAAAATCTATTCCGAAATAGCGAAGAATGATGAGAATGATTTTTATTCGAATTCTTACTCTCGATCTGATCCAAAAATGGCTAGAAGAAAAGGACATTTGATAATTTTACAGCAAAATAACAGAACGTTTTAAAATGGCGTTGAGACAAACAACGCAGACACACTCCATACAAGATTGTGTGTAGGTTCTTCTAATTTGTTTGAACTACTAGAGTCAATTTACATATAGTTAGGATATGTTGAAAAACCATGTGAATAATCACAATTGTTTATTGAATTACAAAGATATTTTTTAGAATAAGATGCTTTTGAAAATACTATTAGTTTATGATACATTGTCAGACAGCTTTCAAATTATGACTTTAAAAAGAGTATCAAACAAATGAATGAATGAAAATTATAATAATTTTCAAAATTGATAACGGTGCTCTGAAATTTTATCATCTCAATTACTGTTCTGCAAATTCATTGAATTTAATTAGTTAGATTTAAAATAATTTTATTTCAGACAATGGTTAAATACTTTGTAATTTTTTTCAATTAAGTTACCACACTAAGCCATTTAAAATTTATAAAAGAAAATAAACGAAAGGCATATATATTTTGATACTATTATTCAGAATATAAAATAAGAAAATAATGTTTGGTTTACATTGCACTTCTCTACTTGCTATATCATCTGTATCATTCGGAAGACGTATTGTTTTTTGTTGTTGTTGTATCAATTTATATTAGCCCTTCGTTGTTTACCCATGCATAGGCCAATGCTTGGTAAAATTTCACCTTGAATAGAACCTATCAAGAAAACGAAATTGTTTAATTAATTCATTTTTTCAAAAATTGAAATCTTCTATTACCGTAAGGAACTCTTTCACCATCAATCATTAGATTTCCGGTTGTTCCCGATGGCACGATTCGAAATGCACGAATACGCATCGATTCAACAAAATCACAATCGAAATGTTTTCCATCGGGCAACTTTGTAAATGCCTTAATTAAATTCATGCGTATTGAACTGTCAAAACGTATCAATTGTAATGTTAAATAACCATCGGTTAAAGTTGATTGTGGAGTCGAAATAGCATCTTTTGATATGGCAGATTTAGATGTAATAAGTACACTGGCAAATGGACCTTCAATACGACGCCATTTACTTGTCGTTGGATCAATTGGTATCGGCTCATTGATCGGTAGAAGATGTTGATGAATTTTTGTAATTGCTAAATTTGATGTAGTATAATTCATTTGAATGGTTCCGTCTGTTGTATCATAGGGAAGATAGTCGATATAACCATCATAGATACGAGGACCTAAAATGCGGTAAAGCACAAGTGATACGATGCAGTGTTTTGAAAATATTTCGAACTTTAAAGTAGTTTTAAAAAAATGATTTCTAATTATAAGACAACCTTTTCCTATTAACAAATAACGAACACTTACGAATAATGTTTTTAACAGCTTCAATTGTAAATCGAGTTTCACCTGAAAGAATAATATAGATTAAAAATGGAACGAACTAATTTTAAAAAATTTGTCTATTTACCAAGAAAACGATACTTTTCACTTTCGTAATCAACATCCGCAACAACACCCCATGAAATACTTAGAAACGAAAAAACTCGTTGTCCATCACACATATCAATCACAGCCATATCAAAAGGAATCACTTGATGTGTAGCAATAAGTATAGCAGATTGAACTACAAATTGTTCTGCTGATGCCGCAATGGGTCGTCTAATAATGTTGACTTCAAAATAAATATATATTAAAGAAAATACGACTAACTTACTCGCTATGCCGAATAATACTAGTAATAAATGCATTACCTGAACCACACGGTAGATGTCCAATAGGTAACTTCAAAGCGTCCTGCCAATCGTCTCTACTCATAAGCCCATTGATGACCTTTCATTATAGAGAAAAATTCATTTTCTAGTGAAAAATAAAGATATTCACTTCATAAACAAGTCCATCACCCGAAGCAACAACAATTGCATTCCATTCGCTTAATTCTAACGATCTCACAAAATCACGAGCATGGCCAGCATATTCTATGAAAGCAAAATAAAAGATAAATTTTCTATTAGACATAATTCGTTTTCAAACCTGTCAAAACTATATGATACTTAAATTCTGCTTCGCTCCATACGCCAACTACATATTCCATAACAAGACGATAAGCTTTACCTGCACCACCGGCTGGATTAACAAGAATAAGTGCACGTTTATCACGGTTTTTTATCATAATATCAACTAAATTTACTCAAAATAAAATTCTACATTTTATTTTTCAAGAATTTACGAGGAAGATTTCGTCGTAGATAAATTGCTTGCGATACACTACGGTGCCATCGTATTATTTCAGCGAAATTTCTTTCATAATCGCTATATTTTCCATAGCCATATGTAAGCGGTGTTCGATTTAACTCGGGCGTTTTTGAAAAGATTCCACTTATTATATTTGATCGTTTAAAAATATACAAATAAAGTGTTAAATAACATTCATTGGAAGTTTTCGATGATTTCATACACAAGCAACCATAAATATCATCAATTGGTATGACTCGTGTATTATTCATTGATGATACTCTATCTTGATTATCATCGTATTTTTGAATAATGGAAAGACTAGCTGATGAAAGTTTAAGAACATATTGTTTAGATGTTTGACGATAATGAAAAAATGTATCTTCAAGATCAATCGATTTCGATTCTTCTTGAGCCATTAAATGACTAGGAAGCTCTAAAAATTAAAATCTTTTCTTTTTTTTGGTTCAAATAAATTTATTTAGGATTATTTATTATTCGATTGACAACGAAAATCACAGCATTTACAAAACCAAAGCACAATGATGTAAGCGGACGGTTCAAAATAAGAATAATTGAAATTTTTGGAAAAATCAAAGTTTAGTAAATCGAATCGCATTATTCAACCATACGTTGAAGTTCAGTTGTGTAAACATTAACACTTTCAGCATCATATAAAACAAAAAAGACTTGCTGCAGCTTTGTTGTTGCTGTTTGTCGAAAGTATTTTGATAAACCTGCGAGGATTGTTTGTGCAGCGGTTTGTTTAGGAAATCCAGCACTTAAATAATAATAACAATAATAGGCGAAAATGATTTTTTATCATTTCAAATAGGATCACCTACTTTCCACTGCTCACACTTGGTATAGCAACAGACGTAAGACCTTGTTCGTCAGCTAGAGTCAGAATATTTAAAGTAGCCTTGTCAAGATCACTGATACATTGTTCTTGTGCGCTAGCATTCCATGTTGGTGAATTGACGTGAATCAGATGTGTAGCTGATAAATTAGGTGCATCCGTAATAACCACTAAACAATTAAATATTGAAAACAAAATTCATTTGACAACGAACTATTACCATCTCCAACATTGGGTATTGATTTAGTCTGTGCTGCTTGAGATAAAGCATCTCGTAGTTCTTTTCCTCCTGCTTTAGCCAAGGCATGACCTAGTTTTTTTTGATGAAAAAAGAGATCTTGCATTAATTAGATGAAAACATAACGAAAGAAAAACTAACCAACTTCACCACCCATATTGAGTGACGTACTTGTTGGATGAATAATAGCATCAGCCTTGATATTAACAATACTTCCTTGAACAACAGTTAGCTAGAAAAAAAAATATTTTCTATATATTTTATTTTTCTAGATTTCAGCATGCTTTTTGTCCACGAATAAGAACACGTTCGGAAAGTGTTGTAACTGCGGTACCTTTAAGTGCAGCTGCCTAGAATGTAACAGAGAAAAATGATATGTATATGTAACGATTAATGAAGATTTCTACCTTCGTCTTAGGTGAATCGTAAACAGTAAAACTTCCTAAACCTTTTGTTAGCGTTGGCTTATGTGCAACGCTTTTGGTACTTCTACTAGCGGCTGTCTTTTTTGTCACGTGAGGTGTGTGTGATGCAGTAGATAACGATTGGTCAGAACTATCACCAGTATGTTTTGGGAGAAGAAACGGAAAAATTAATGGGAGCACGCCACCTTGAGGTATTACACAACCACGAAGTAACTGCAAGAAAATATAGGCATTGTATGGTTTTCTTCATATATTGTTTTACTTTATTGAGTTCTTCATCCGAAGCTACAGCAAGCAAGACATGTCGTGGTATAATTCGACTGCGACGATTATCGCGTGCTGCATTACCACTCAATTCAAGTACTTCAGCTTAAGATAAAAATTTATGTCTTTTCTTTTTAATATTCAGAATAAAACAATCTTTGTAATTACCTACCAACAAGATATTCTGCTACAGCAGCTAGATAAATAGCTGCACCTTTTGTGACTCGCTTCGGAGCCGATGGAGCAGCTTTAAGATAGCGGTGCATACGAGTGACCGGAAAAATAATTCCAGCACGGGTAGATCGTGATACTCGTCCCTTCTTTGTTGGTGCCATTGCTATTTTAGTACTAGTGAACAATATATTTAAAAAATAATAATAAGAAAAGTTATAATATTGTTCCTTTTTATCGCAAAACAAGTAAAGCAAATGAAGGTTAACCTTGCTGTGGTTTTTTCTCTTGTCAACAAGAATTGCACAACACAGTTGTAAATTTTATTCCGTTCGGCTCGCCTTTGCTTTACCGGTTTTCGAGCCGGGCGAATGAAATAAATAAAATGTTTGGCATTTTGAGGTCACTAGTAATTGACATGTTATTATCAATTAAAAAATACAAAATAAATTTTTTCTAAAATTTTATATTTATTCCCAATGATTATCGGTAGAGTACTCGCTTTTTTTTCATTATTTCCGAGGTATTCAAGATAATAACATCTGATCATTAGTTATTTATAAGCATTTTTATTCGTATAATTAAACAGCTTACTGGTGATGATTGTCACTTAGATAGAAAGCTCAATTACAATTTTTGTTTTCATTCTATTTGGGTTTTATCTACTTCAAGCTCATTCCCATAGAAGAAACATTAGCATGACAGCAAAGGGAAAAAATATATAATTCTTGTTTTTCTGTATCATTATTAACTGTTCAATAGCGAGAACATGAAAAAAGAAAACGAAGATATAATAACAAAAAGTCAGTAACTGCACAATTAGCTGTCTAGTTTAGTTTCTAGTTGGAATCACATACTCACATTCGTTCATATAAGCACATCACAGCATGAAAAATGAATATTAACGAAAAAAGAAAAAGAAGCCAAAAAGCAGAAGAAAAAACAACAGAAAAAAAGCACCTGTTTCAATATGAAACCAAAGGTCCAAAAAAGAGAGAAGAAGAAGAACGAAACTATGAAGAAATATACGTATTCTAATCACTTCTATTTGTTTGTAATTAAACGCGCATACATATACATACAAATAGAAAATCAAAACAAATGAAAGACGAATTCTAGGTCTCCTTCGTTGCGCCATCGACAATAAGTCATTATTTATATACACTGCTCTGAAAAACGTATGTTCATGGAAGAGAAAAAGAAAATGCATGAAGCCGGTCATGTTATCGATTTGTATATGTGCATATGTGATATTAACTAAAAATAAATAGAACTGTATTGAAAATGAAATAATCTATCCATAGCTGGACGTTACCCGTATATTGTTTCAATAGTTTTAAGTCAGTCGTTTTCGTTTATTTGATTTTCGATTATTCGACTTTTTAGAAGATCGTTTTGTTGTTTCTAGTTTAGGAAAATATTGATCTTTCTAGTTTCAATTCATTCAACATACCAGTATTTTCTTGTTCGGGTTGTTTCGGTGGTTCAAGTTTATACCCAACAAGTTCACACCAACCAATCGGATAGATATTCGTTGATTGACAGTCAATCCATTGTTCAAAATCATCACTCCATCCATCAAAATGCACACGAATTAAACTATCGGCTACTTGTGCTACAGTAGCAACACATACTAAATGTGGTGCCATCATATCAACAGCTTCAATTTTCATTCCAATAGAAAATGGATTCGTTGTTTTCTCCTACGAAAACAAAATACATCGATAGAAGAAGAGTAAAACTAACGCATTCATTTTTTTTTTATTACTTTAATAATATGAAAGGCTTCTCGTGGCGCATAGACCGAATTCGTTACACGTAAATATTTTTCCCATTCAAATTCACCTTGATAGTCTAGAATAATTTAATTATAGAAAGATATACAAATCTATTGTTGGAATTTTACCCAGTGGAGGTGATAATGGAATCTTATTGATTTCACAAAAATTAATAGGAAATATTAAACGTGAACTTGAATGATAACAAAACCAATCGGAACCATCTTCGGCAAGGGATCCATCAATTGATAACATAAAATAACCATTTTTTAATACCTATGAAAACAGAGATTAAGAATACAAATTTACGTGTAAACAAAATAATTTACTTTTCCAATCGTAGCTGGACAAATACGCGACATATCTAATGGATCAACAGCTTCTAATTTTTGACCTTCTTGAAATTGATCATCGTCCGGTGATATTTTCGGAATCTAAAACGAGGTATTTTCGTTTTCCATTTAAATAAATTTCTTCGTCTTACTTTACGAAAAAGATCCGGTGTAGCAATACTTGTTGAATAGGAGTTCGTTTCAATTAATTTGACTACATCATTATGATATTCTTGAGTAGCTTCAATTTCATGCCCAGTTACATGAGACCAACTAACGGGATGTATTAATTCCGATGCATAATGCACCCAAAAATGTTCACCAGGAATCTAAATCAATAATTTTAGAAATAGAATCAACAAAACATCTAGCCTACATTTTCATAATTGATTTTCAAACGGCCACCAATCTAAAATAGAAAACAATTATTCTCACATGAAAACAAAATTTAATGAGCAAAGAACTCTCTAACATACCACTTCTGATATTTTGCCAACACGCATTTGTGATACTCGGAATTTATCAATAACTTCTAGGATCATACTCTTTTTAAATGGACAACGAAGTGATAATTGAATCTAAGAAAAGGAGCAATATTCTTAAAGTAAAATTCATGCGATTATACTTTTTGACGAAAACTTTCTGGTAATGTTTTTGCACCGACTAATTTATTCACAAGAAATGTTTTCCAATCAGTTTGTCGATGTTCAATACCTAGATAATAAGAGAAAAAGGAATTCTATGAAACAAAACAAGAAGCAATTTTGAAATACAAACTTCTTGGTGGTGCTAATTTAATTCCATTTTGTCCACACCAACCAACACAATGTACATCTTTATTACATAAATTACACCAGAAATCCATAGATGAATCATCATCACAACCTTCATAACGTAATAATGCCAAATAACCCTCAACTCGAACGATATATGCAAACCAAAAAATTTTTTCCTTTGTATCATTAGGACCATGAGAACAATCTGAATTTATAACTTCAACTTTCATACCAGCTGTTAATTGTCCCCACATATCTTGTAAAGGTGCCTATATGATGATTCAAGACAGAAAAAAGTAAGATACAGTTAAATGCAAAAAAAATTAAATGAAAATTTACATGACGAAAAAAACTAACTGGTGCTCCATGTGCACCCGTCGTTTTCAAATAACTACCCCATATAAATGAAGCAATTGCATCCGCTAGAAAATAGAAAAATGAATACTAATTTAATATATATATATATATATATTGTTTTTTAAAGCTTTACCGGAAGCAGTGGGAATTGCTATAAAAGTAGCTCCATTTAAACGCGATGGTTGTTGTGATGGACTAATATTATTTGATGCTAAGGAAGGTGGGACAGATACTGTTTCATCAGGAACTGTTGCCATTAGTACTATGCGTCTGCACGCTAACGATCTAGGCAAATCTACAGATAAGAAGTAGTAAAAAAGAGTATCTTTTCAAGCTATAACCCGCCGAAAAAAAACTAAAATGAACATAAATTTACACGATTTGATGATTCATACGACCATTAAGGAAGAAGATTTATTTTCATCAAAACAAAAATCAGCATAGACTTATTAAAATTTTCCTTTAACGTTTATGATGACTTATTCTTCATTTAAGAGTTATATCATTTTTGTTTATTAAATAATTGAAATTGGTTCAACCACAAAAACAAACCATAAACGATCATCAACGACATCTATCGACAACCATAACGAGAAATATTAATAAAGCTATAAAAAAACTGCTGTTGAATTTCTTCTTCAATGAATAGATACATGAATCGTCAGATTTATTTTAACTTTAATAATAATATGTTCAGCATGGAACAATATTATTTCGTTTATTCTCTACTTGAATTCCAATGCAACCAATATACACGCGTATTGTTAGAATTACTTCATAAAATGATTGTATCGATTTGATCTTAAGAGGAAACATATTGGAGTGTATCACCTCAGCATGAATTTCATTTCATTCTATACAGTTGAGACTTTAATAAATATTTGTAACATAAATATCGTTGAAGTATGCAGAAAAATATGACGAAACAAGTAAACTTTTTTGCTTTCATATTCATGCTTGCAGTTAAAATTGTGTTATTTTTACATTTATGAAGAATTTATCTGTGACACCATATACATCTTCGTTTACTTTTATCAATGTTTCATAGAATTCATAATTTTTAATCACAACATTTATATCTCCTATGTTTGACGTTGTCGCTTTGCTCATCTCCATGCATACGTACGTGCTCAACAGAGATTTTCTAGAATAGATTGACTATTACGATAATACTTAACGTACGTATGGTGATTAAACTGAAATTTTGTTTTTCGTTATATTTTAAATAGAAAATATTTTTTCTCATTGCCTTTTTTTTTATGATCACACAAATAAACACTTATTCAAAGTCACTTTTTGTCGTCTGGTTTAAGTGAACAGAGCGAAACCGTTAAGTGGCATCCGACACAAGTGTACTCTACTCAAGCAAAGTAGACAGGCAGTTAGAAAAACACACTAGCTCATTCGTATTGATAGATGATGAGAAGAAAACGAAAGAGAACAAATCGATTAGTTTAGTGAAGAACACGCATTAGCTTTTTGATCGTCATGGGGCGGGCAGCAAGTTGTTCAAAATAGCAAAACTCTATCAGCTTGATGATGTTGCTTTTAAACGTTCAAATGTATTTTTGATAGCAACCATAAATGAAAGTGTACGTATAGGTATATTTTCATCGCTAGCTGATGAAAGCGACGAATTCGATGAACTTATCGATATCGATGATAATAAATCACGCTGTTGGATAAATTCATTTTGTTGTACAATCGATGACGGTGTAATTATTTGTTGACAACAATGATCTTGATATTGATCATCAAACGGGTGTGTACGTTTCAATGGTGCAAGAGATAATTCTTGAACGAACGATGACGTTGGTGATAAAATACTATTTGCTATAGTTTGTTCAGGAAACGAAGTCAATTGAAGAGATGATAGTTGTTGATCACCAATTACTGATATAGAAAAATGAGTTAGACTTCATCAAATTTTAAAGCCGACATCTTCATAGGACCACTTGTCCTTAATTTCTTGAACGGAAATCTCAATTATGTACCACTTAGTTGATCATATAATCACGACCGCCAAGTTGTCCTATTGAAATCTACCAGAACAACTTTACTCGTTTCAATCAATGAGATTTTTTCTTCGCCAAATTGTAGACTACCTTACAAGACAACACTATTTTTTGTCTATAGAATAATTTCTCGAACTACATAGAAGTGACAAAAGTCTATGCTCTTCGAATCTAGACACTATTTGATAATACCCAACAGCTTTTCGGTTAGTCAAAGAAACATATGAAAGATTAAATAGATCAGAGTAAAGCAGCCGCAAGGCATTTCATGCTTGTTGACAGTCTCTTATCCTGCTAGTTACTGACATACTTTCTATTAACTCGAGCCTAACTTAGTATACCTTCTGGTTTATCATCTAAGATAAAATCCGATCGATTGATTCGTATCATAGCTTCTACTTTTTGTTTCATAGTTATTGTTTGAAATAAATTTACGATAGGTTCAAAATCTTTTCTATTCCGAATATTTAACTTTTGATATAGTTGTTCAAACAAACTAATTTTTAACTGTTCATTATCATTGGTAGATTGATTCGATAGATCAATATAGTCATCAATATCAATTTTATCTTGTAAATTATTAGCATATAAAAGAAGTAATTGTAAAACTTCAAAACGAATTTGATTTTTCTTAGAAAATAAACTAATTATATTTCGTATATCTAACCAATTGAGATTATAGTTCGATAATTTATTTCTAATTGTTTGCAACAACTGTAAACGTTGTTCATCATTTGACATTCCAGCAAGTATCGTTAAAATCATAATATTAATCTTAGATATCAAAACGAAAAAATATTTACGCGCACACGCAAATGTTTTTTCTCTCTCTCTCTCTTTCTCTGTAACAATAGAAATCTATTCACGGTTCGATTGTTATTATTAGGTTTTGTTTTTTGATCGATACCAATCAATCAAATTGATTGTATGTTAAAATATTTTAATTTGCATTTATTGTCATCATAATGTGACGAGCGTAAGCGCGCATGATTTCGTTTGATGAACAGCAATATTTTTAATGAACTGCTCATTAGAATTTCTTTCTTGGCTATGCACAGCAAGTCAATACTTTCATCTTTCCTATATTCTTTATTGTATTACATTAAAAAAAAACGATACAAGCCTATTTCATATTCAGATTGGGCATAGTCGGTAAATGATAAGTTTGCGCATCAACAGGTGTTCTAAAAACAAAACAAAACAAAAAAGGAATATTAATGATTGAAGAAAAGTATTCGTTTCGTATACCTGACAACATTTGCTGATGGTGAACGTGGATCATCATTGGAAATTGATTCAGATTTTGTTTCGACTATAGGAATTGATGGAATATGAACTAAATTTTTTAAACGATTTTGAATGCCACTCATAATCGTCTCTTAACGCTTAGTTGACTTAATGTTTTGAAGGCTTTTTCTTGAAAAAAGGATTGCCACGCACTCTTTTATTTATAGTCAAATATTTGTAATAGACAGGCGTTCATTTTATAACGGGAAAAATCTGCTTTGTTTTACATAGTTAATCATCGCTTGTTTCTCGGACGGAGTTCTTCCGAATGAGAAATGCCTTACGGCAACTACTCATCACATTAGTGTATTGACTTGACAAGCGAACGTTACTCTTTCTTTTCTTTTTTGAAGCGGAATAAAACAAAATGATGCATACCGCTCTAGTGGCAGTGGCATAATCACAGCTTGATTTGATTTTCAAACGTTTTTACGATACACGTGTCAAAAACGTTACCTCTCCTTTTTCTTCTTCTTCCTCCATGAACAGTGTTTAGATTAGAAATAAACATATGCATGAAAAAGAATAACAATATTTTACTTGGGAAAAGATTGTTACATCAGAAGAATAATAATACATATGATCGATTGAATATATTCATCATCATCATTATTGTGGTGAGTGACTGCTCGTGGCATATTGTCAACATACCTGTAAATGGATGCATCAATTACACCATCATCATGTGAGTGGGTGGAGAGAGAGAGCTTGTGAAAAGCACATCTGTTTCGAGAATGTCAATAGTGCGTTAGCAACAATAATAACAAGTAAAGTGTCAAAAAAAGAAATCGATGTTCAATACTTAAGATTTGCTCTTATCAAATATTACGACATAGTAGCTCGCACTATGCAATTGTCGAAGATTCAAAGAAAGATATTTAGTTTATTCCGACACTTCGTCGAAGTCATTGAATGTAGTGAAAAATGAAATCAGGCAAGATTAAAAAGATGCAATGCATGCATTCTAATCACTTTCTTTCGTTACTTTTTATTTAAATGATGATCTTCTATGATCAGTAGTATACTACTATACGGTACAAAGCGAAGATTTTCATGTGTTTGATGGTGGTATGTTTACTGGGCCTGGGGGATTGAATTGTACTGTATACCGATCAAACAAACTCGGCAACACTGTCTATCCTAATAAGAGTACGATAATGTGCGAAATGATGCTGCTGTTCTTACACGCTTCGATGATGATCAATAGAACGAACGAGATTTGTTTTTTCGTTTCGCTTCACAGCCAATAGATGTATATTTTCTGCTTTACGAGAGAGAAAAAAATGAAAATTGAACCAATCCATCGAAAGCGAAGATAAAAAAAAGAGAAAGAAAACTTGTTTTTTATCGTCACTATTTAAATATATAATAATCAATAAAACATTTTCAACCAGTGCATTCACAAGCAACTTGAAATTGATCAACGTAAGCTTTTATTTTCCGAAGATTTCCATTCTCATTAGTATTACTGTTAATTAAACGGTAGTTGATTTTATTTCTCTCCTTTTAATCAGTCATGCTTGTTCTCGGCATGAAATCCGCATGTATGTGTATGTATATATTGATAGGCTAGACCTCCTATGTAGTTTTGTCAACTGGCAATGGCAAGTACAGTACATCATCACCTGGCATCATGTGATGCGCGTTTAGCCGAACCGTTTGAAGATAGAATCCAGCTGTGCGATTTCTTCTTTTTTCTTCTAGTCTCATCTTTCTCTCGTTTCTGCAATCATAATAACAGACATTCATCGTGTCATTGAAAACTATCGATATGTAATCTTATGGATATGAAGATCAGATTTTTAAATTAACGGATGAAAGAAACTCTTTTTTTTTTTCTTCATGTAGGATGACCGATACACTCTTATTGTTATCATCGACAATGTCCAATGATCGTCAACGAATACGTCAGCTAAAATATCATATTAATCAGTTATTATCGGAATTACGTATGATTGAATCGAGCAATAATATTCAACCATTAAATATATCAATCAATTCTCAATTAACAACACTGTCACATGATGAAAATTTTTGTCCATATGCATCGTGCAAACAAAAACCGGCTATATTACATTCAACAACCAATAATGAATATAGAAGAAAAACGAAAAAATTCTTATTTGCTGCACCAGCACGAGCAACAAGTACACCGAAAAGTTCTCCCAATCATAATAGAATGATGCTTAAACCTCATCATACATCAACACCAAGACGTAGTAGTAAACGTCATTCAACTCCTTTGGCTGCTATGCCAACAAATAATATGATTCCATTGAAACGTCTTCTCTACAATAAAGATTACGATCAACATAAACGTCGACATTCAGCTGTTCCTTTTTCTAAGCGTTCAATTCTACCACGTTTACAACCGATTGATGAAAATCCACAATGGATTTAGACTGTTTTGTTTTTTATTTTTCTATGTACAATTTAATCTATTTTTTTTCTTGTTTCTCTTTTGCCTAGAAAAATAAAAATGAAATTAACATTTTGTTGTTTTGATGTTATGAAATCGAATAGCATAACAATAGATTCTTTTCTATCGATGGATATATATGTGACGAGTATTCATTTCTTTGATGAAATTATAATGAAAAAGAAAATAGAAATTTGAAACCTTATTTAAAACCGTTCATTTATATGATTCATGAGTACGAAGATTTATTTCCATTGATAGTCGTTGTCAGTGAAAATCAAAATGTTTTCTTGGATTTTTTATTTAACCGACAACAAGTATAGTAGAACTGCTTTTCTTTCCTAGAAATCAATTTTTTCCACAAATAAAACCGTAGACGAAGAAATCTACTATTCTGTAGATCATTTTTGTTTTTGAGTTTGTGCACAGTAAAAAATATATGAGGTTATATTCAGTGTTGAAATAGACACGAGTTATCTTCTACTTTTCTTACCTCAATATTATATTTAAATCATAAAGATAAAAGATATTTATTATACAAAAATAAATATCGCGTCACTTTTGTCTAGTTGTCTTAAAAAACATCTCTATCAGTAATGAAAAACAACCGTTTTATTCCCATGTGTATTAATTTATATTGGGATATACTGAGGGAGCCTACCATATATTAATAACAGAGTTTATTATTCGAATAAAAAGAATATTTTGAATACTTCTGGTTGGTTTCATATTTATAAAAACCTACAGTTTGAAGTGGTAATTTTAGGAAGGTCTCGAACATTCCTATGAAATTATTTTTTCTATGTAGATTTTCAATTTCAGATGGCGAAATCGACTGATGATGATAACGATAATTTTTTCTACGTTGAATCGCCTGACTACCAGTGCCTACAACAAGAACGAAAAAAAGCAGCTCAACATTGTGCTGACGAAAATAGAAAATTTATAAGCAAAAAAAGAGATCTTGAGAACTCCAAAGATGAAGCAGTGGCAAAAACGAATTCAATTTTAAATGAAAGTGCTGAACAAATAAAACAACTCGAACAACAAGTTGATCGTATTAATGATCTTGAAAGTTCGAAGACTGAATTGTTAAAGCAAAAATTAGAACTTGACGAACAAATTGAACAAGAAGAAGAAAATATTGCGAGATGTGAATATGAAAAAATTACATTTGAACAGAGAATACAAGAACTCAAAGAAGAGAAAACTAAATATGAACTTGAAGAACAACAACTGAAACAAAAATTGCACGATATCAAAGAACGAGAGACTCAAATAGTTACGGAACAAGGATATTTAGAAATGTCTCTAATGGAATTACAACAACATATCGAACAAATTCGGCAAGAATTAAATACAAAAGACGAACAATTGAAAGAACAAGAACATAGACGTGAGGAATTAGAAAAACAAATCGAAAAACTTCATCAAGAAATAGCAAATATTGAAACGGAAATAAAAACGCTGACTAACGAAATTGAAAAGATGAATGAACTTACCAATCAGCTCTGGCTCAAGCAAAAAGATTTACAAACTCATTTCGAACAACTTCAGTCAACTATTCTAGAATTAGAACGGGTATTAAAACAGAAAGAAGCTGGCGTTGTTCAACTTGAAACTCAGATTGAAGAATATCAACGTAACATCGATAAATTAGCAGAACAAGGTGAAACACTTCATCAAGAAATCGAAAGACTTAATGAGAATGTCGAACAATTGAGTGATGAACTTTCTCAAGCAGTACAAACTTTAGAGCAATTGAAAAGTCAACGTAAAACACTCGAAGAGCAAAAACGACAACTTGAAAAAACTTATCAGTCGATGGAAGATGAACTGGTGGATCATCAAAATCAGCTAAGTGTTCTAGAAAGAAAAATGCAAGATACACAACAATTACTTGATCGAGCACAAGGCAAAGTCAACGAACTCACTGCATTGGAACAAAGCAAAAAAGCAGAAACCGATCAGCTTCAAAATAAAAACGATGCATTAGAAGAGCAATTAGCTATATGTACTCAAGAATGTGAAGATTTAAACATGCAAAAAGAAGAAGCGCAACAAGAATTCGAAACAGCTAAAAGTGATTATAGAGAAGCACAACAAGAATTAAGACAAGCCAAAGAACAAGAACGTACAGCAAACACGGAATATGAAAAAGCATTACAAGAAGAAAAAAATCTTCAAGCACAATTGGATAGACTAGTGAGCGAAGAGAAGTTGGCCCAACAAGATGTAAGTGCAGCTGAAGCTCGAGTTGAATCAGAAGGCTTGCTAAATATAATTTGTACTGCGATTGGTCTAATTCCAATTCCAGGACTGAATGGTGTGGGTAATCTTAAACAAGCTGATTACAATGCAGCTCACAATGCTCTACAACAAGCTAAAGCAAAACTTGAAAGTAAAAGTTCGGCATTGAACGATGTCCGTAGTAAATTGGATAGTGCCAAAACGAAAAGTGCTAAAACTGCTACAGATTACAATCAAATGAAAAAAGAGCGTGAAGAAAAGGAGTGCACTTTGCAAGTCAAAGACTCAGCTCTGACACAACAGAAAGAGAAATTTGAAACAGTCAAATCTAAACAACGGGAAGCTGTTCGAAAACGTGTTCAAACAGAGTCCAATCAGAAGAGTGTCGCCAATAAATTACAACGTGCACAAACACAATTGACTACAGTTAGCAGTGATCTTGAACGACATCGAAACGATGCTATCAATTATAACAGTCAAAAACTTGATCTTACAACGACTATTACAAAGGAAAAGACCAACATCGAACGACATGAACGTACTATGAATGAACATAAAACGACTATGACTGAAAATAAAGTGGCTTTAAACAAAATAAATGATCAATGTTTAAATCAAACCAATACTGTTGAAGCTTTAAAATTAAAAATGGAAAATGTAAAACAAAAATTAGGCGAAAAGCTTAATCTTGAGAAGACCCGCATTCGAGAAATTAATCATCAAAAAGCTTTACTCGAATCGAATAGAAAAAATGTCGAAGATATACGCCATGATATAGCTGAAAAAAAGGAACAAATAACTAAAACAAAAGAAGAACTGGATAAAACCAGTGACGAAATAAAACAAACAATTCAACAAAAAAATATATTGAGCGAAGAGAAGAAAGTTTTAGAAGAAAATCTCAAAGAAAAACAGAGTACACTTAAGAAGGTTGAAAATTCTCATAGCGAAACGCGTATGCAGATACAAAAACAAAAGGCAGAAATTGAAAATACTCGTGGAACTCTTTCTTCATTGGACAAACAAGAAGAACGACTTTTCAAAGAAATCAAAGTCCATGAAGATCGATTAGACAACAAATCTATGGAACTTAAAAAAGTTCAACAAAGACTCGAAGAAATCAATAAGAATAGCTTTGAAAATGAACAGAAATTAACAAACGCTCAAAGTGCCATTTCCAGAGCAAATGAAGAATTGAATTCCGTTGTAGACAATATCAAAGAAAAAAACCGATCCATCACTCAACAAGAAAACAGTTTTCAACAAATAATTCAAAATTTAAAAGACCATGCAGCTCAATTCTCAAATAAACAGGAAGAAGCAATAAAAATTTATGAAACAATTGAAAAATGTCAAATAGCCATTACGAAACTAAAAGCGCATCATTGTGAAACACAAGAAAATCTCCAAAAAAAACAATTTAAAGTTATCGAGCGGGAAGCGAAGCAATTGCAATTACAACAAGAGATAAAAACTGACATTAAAGAAACGAATAAACAAAAAAAGACACATTAAGCTTGAGAAACTTTAGTTGGATTCGGCTATTCCTGTTCGTATGAAAATCTATAGACAAAAGATATACAAAATTTACATATAGTTTTTCGTTTGAAAATGAATTTTATTAATCAACCCTAGATAACATATTAGCTCTTTTTATAATGAGATCGCTCCCTTATTTCTATTAATAGAGTATTGGGTTAAATTTCGAAGAAAATTTTCTCGTACTCTTGTAAATTGAATGTCCTGGAAATAGATGTCGTAGAACAACAACTTTGATTTACATTTTTTTATGCCAATCCTGTACACAAAAATAATAAAATATATAATTATCGCAGAATTAATTGTTTTCGATTTCGAAAGAAGTCAACCAGACGGGCGCATTGATGGCTTGAAGTGATTCTATACATTTAACTATTGATTTTCACAGTTGAGTATGGTACAATTGCAAATCATTGATAGAATTCGTTATTTTATTAAATGTTTTTCTTTCCTTGAAAATTAGTTCTCACCTGTTGTTCTTTCAGATATTTAACGATGACTAAAAACGACGACAACGATTTCACTTTTACACCATTTACAAGCAATTTGCTGGATGAAGAGATACATGATTCGTCAACACTTTCTCTACCGCCACCGGTGTCATCAACAGTACGTTCCTCGTCAGCTATTGATATTATTACCATTGATGAACTAATTCTTAATGTTCATTTAAAATATGACTATTCAGAACTCAAGGCATTTGCTGATGAACTTGCAAAAATAAATAGATTAATGTCCATAGGCAATCGTCAATTGTCAACATTACAATTATATGCACTTAAATCAACACGTGAACCGATCGATATGAGCAATCAGAGTGTACGTAAAATTTATCGGCCGACTCTTTTTATTCGTAAAAACGATGCATTTGGCCCATGGAATTTCAATTATTTATTGAACATAATGGAAATCGATTATCAATGTTCAAGTGATGAAGGCTTTCCTAAAGTATGGAAAACAACAAATCAAACGAATGTTATTGTTAACATAATTCAATGTAAAGATCAAAACTCGACGAATTTTGCTACACAAAAAAAAGATGATACAGAAAGTGCGACGCCCGAAGGAGAATCAACAACCTTATTGGGAGTACTAATACAAATTTGTCGTCAAAACAAATACGACGAAAAGGATGCTAATCTATGGTTACGTTCTTTAAAAGGTAGACTATAGAATATATACATGTACCCCCATTCTATTCTATTCTATTTATTTAGAGGAAAGCATTACAACTCTCGAACATCTACGAACAATAGCATCGAATGATAGCTGGGAAAAAATTTCTTGTATAAAACATTTGCCAAAACAGATGATTCGTGATTATATACAGTTGAATGCAGCATCAAATACATTTAACAAAATAGTGAATCCATATGCCGAATCAGAAGCGACTCTCATTGGTGATATTCATCGGGTTCGGCGATACTTTTATTATGTTACGGATAATTTAAAACATTTGTCCTATTTGGATCGGCGTGCTGTCGATTTGGCTATTGTTGAAGTACGACGAAGTTACGATGACGATGGCAACGTACTTAATAATATACACAATTATTTACGAACATTTTGTCTGAAAAATGCTGTTGAAAGTGAAGCTGCTCATGAAAATCAACGCAATGAATGGCAAGCTGAGCTAAAACAACTTCGTTCAAATATTGAATCTAATCGGAAAAAATATGAAGAATGTCTTAAAGAATATGATACGGCTGAGACCGATACACGATTGTATAGTGTACGTTTAGAAAATAAAGCACGAAAAAGAGCTGAAGTTTATGCGAAAGCTGATCAAACCAATGATAAAAGCAAAAAAATAGACTTCGAAAATGAAGTGAAAAATATTCAAGTACAACTTGATAAAAAACAATATGTATCAAAGATGAAGAAAGAAGAATATCTCAGTTTTGCCGTCAAAACAGATAATGCAGAAAAACAAATTGAAAATTTAAATGGATTCCTCAAATTGAATGTTGCTGAAGAGCATAAGAAGCTCACTGTCAAATATGGGCGTGGTTTGCTTCTATACGGGCCACCAGGAACAGGTGCTGTACGAAAAAACTACTTATCGAAGAAAACAGAATTGTTCTATTGAATTTAGGAAAATCGGAATTATTGAAACGTGTCGCTGTCTATGCTGGAATAACAATGACAACGACGCCACTGGCAGCTGGTGAACTTAATCGACCTTATGTTGGTGAAACTGAAAAGTTACTGATCGATATAATGTATCGAGCTAATACAATACCATATTTAATATGTGCCATGACCATTGATGAAATCGATGGTCTCGTACCGAAACGTGATAACAATGCGCAACAGTCGAAAGTCGATGGTATCAGTGTACTTCTTTCACACATTGAAGGTGTAAAAAATATTCCTAATTTGATTGTATTCGGCGCTACGAATCGACGTAATATGATGGACGAAGCATTCCTGCGTCGTATGCAAGCGAAGTGTTTTGTTGGTCGACCTTCGCCGCAAATACGTAAAAAAATGTTACGACCACTTTTAGTCAAGGATTCACGAACATTCAATAGTCAACGGATTGATTTTCTTGTCAAAGTAACAACAAATTTTAGTGGAGCTGCTGTCGGCGCACTTAAATCGAGCATCATTGTAGCTATGGACAATCATCCAACACTCAGCGATAATGAATTACTTGAATTGGCTGATAATGCTGCACGTGAATTTAGTTGTTGGTTCGGTATTGGTACATTACCAGAAATATGTCGTCTTCATCCGAATATTTTTAATTCTCAACAACAAGAAGAATTTTCATTGAGTCTACCTAAAACATCGCCAACAGGCCGTATTCTTGTTGATTTACAAGAACGTAACTGTCTAATTGAACTCACGAATGAACCTACACTTGAAAAAGATCTTTGCAAAGAAGAAACATCAATATTAACTTTACTTGCTCGATTTGTTCATGGATGTTCAAGTCGTAATATTGATACGATTCAAATTATTGATCTAAATTTTCTTACTAAACAAAATGCTTTTGATGAAAATCAAAGATTTGAATTATTAACAACGACTTTTCTAGGTAATTATAATCAATAGAAACTTGAACATAATATTTATTTTCTTTTTTTTCAATCTAGAATGTAATGAATATAATCGTTCTATGTTAATTTTTGATATCGATTCATTGATCATGCTCAATGTGTCCGATTCAGAAATGTCAAAATCATTATCAATATCGAACATTACTCTATATCAATTTATAAGAGAAAAATGTAAAACAGCAATCGTCGAACAAAAGTCAAAGAATGAAAATGTAATTTAAAGAAATCGATTCGATCATTGATATAGTTTTCTATTTTTGTAGAAGGATGAATATGATAATAAAGAAAAATGGATTGTTATGATTGTTAAACATCCACTATTGCGTAGTCTTCTTATTGAAGATATTGAATTTAAGAAAACAAGTCAACAAATTGAAAAAGAAATAGCTGATGAACACCAAAGACTTGATAATGAGACAGAAAAACAATGTCCGAAATGTTTACAAAATTATATTCCATCGAAAATTAATCATGGTAGTTGTCGTTATCATGACGGATTTGTTTACGATCTAGATAATAATAGAAATTTAACTCATGATGAAGCTCAATGTATGATGTTGCAGGCTAAAATTACTAATCGTAACGCAGAACAACAACCGAAATTAATTTGGGCATGTTGTCTTGGTGTATATGGTCATGATGCACCATGTCAAATAGGTCTATGTGGTTTACCTGAAGAATTAAAAATGGAAACGAATATTGATTTATCAAGACAAGATTTAGTTACTTTGGTACAAAATCATTTTATGAAGAATAAACGAGCTGAACAGAAAATCAAAAATTTTATTGATCATAACAGAAGAGCATCAAGAAATTTGATAACTAGTAAGTTAAATTCATCGCCAAAAAATTGATTACGAATTGAAAAATAAACTTAAATGACTGATATTTCTTTTTAATTTAAATTTGTTCAAATAAATTTAGTCATGAAAACAATCGAGTTATTGTAGAATGTTGTTGATTTATATAGACTCTTCAATCGATATCAATGAATGACAATAATAATCTTGCGTATTCATACTTTGATTTAATTTAGAACGCTCGGATAAAAATATAAAATCATACCCCTACAATGAAAATGATGGTTTAGTGAATATACACTACCATGTAGAGTACCTCTAATGTATCCAACGGCCGATATCTTATATTGTACATTTAAAGTGTTCTTGGATGGGCCTAGTAAATATTATTGTTGAGGGATCGCTTTTTTCAACTGCTAACACATATCTACACTTTATATCTCTAATAATGCAAGTGTTAAAAAGGGTCTGTAAGATAGTATGAGTTTGGGTGACAGAGTTGTTTAGGTCAAATTTCAGTGGGATTTAAGTCCTGGCGGAAGGAAACTAAGTAAAACCGGAATCTCACTCAGACCGCTACAAGTGGTACCCAGACACACCTTCACCATCGTTCGAGAAAATGTTTTCGTCTGTTAATCTGCTATTTTCTGGTTAACTGGGAGATTACCCTCTGATGTGGGCGTGGATGTCTTCTACTCCATTCATTCACACCCACACTCCACCATTGCCTGAGTTCCTTGTCGTGTTTTGGTTTTACATCGCTCGTGGTCACTTATTGATTTTTGAGTTCCCGACTCCTGGGAACTTGGCCAGGTTTCACGAAAGATAGTGAATGTCTGGCTTAGAGAATAATAAAAACAAATTATATTTAATCTATTTCAAAGTAGAAATAAAAATAGAAACGAAAGCACAGTTTACGAGTCTATTCAATAGAAAATCGTTGAACACGATGATTACTACAATCGGCGACATAAAGATTGCCATACCGATCGAAGAACAAACCAGCGGGATAATTTAACTGATATTCCCCGACTACTAAGCCATTTCCACCCACAATCTCAATGCTTTGGTTTACTCCTTGAATCCAACGTAACACACGTCGGTTTCCAGAGTCTACTACATACACAGTACCCAAGGTATCGACGAAAAGTCCTTGAGGAGTCCACAATTGTGTCAAAGTTTTTCCTCTACCTTAACCTCCAGCGACAGTAATGCCTTGTGTTGCATCTTTGCTCCATTTCATTACACGATGATTGCTGCTGTCTGATATGTAGACATTCTGTTGTCGATCGACAAAGAGATAAGTTGGTATGTCGAGTTGTCTGGCAGAAGGACCTTTGCCATTACCACCAGCTACAACAGTGCCTTTGGTCGTTCCCAATTGATATCGCATTACTGCACGTTGGTCTTGGTCGCTGACATATAGATATATATGATCATCCATGGCTAATCCATAACATCCGATTTTGTCGATCATGATTTCTCCTTGTGTTGTGTCACTATGACGCGACCATCGTACAATTCGTCGATTCCCTCGGTCGCAGATGACGAGACTATCCGTCTCTTTGTCGATCAATACATCGGTTGGAACATTTAAATAATTCAGTTCAGCACCTTTGCGATTGCCACCAGCAACGACTTGTCCATTCATGTCACCTTTTTTCCATTGCATAATACGATGGTTCGAACAGTCAGCAATGACCACTGTTTGATTATCATCAACAAAGAGACCATAAGGCTCGTTGAGTTTATTGATAGCATTGCCGGATCCGTTACCTCCAGCAACTGTCATTCCGTTCTGCGCCCATTTGGCATCAGCAAAAATATTGGGTATAGCTATACGAAACGAAAAGCAAAGCAGATCTTCATCGTCTCATTCTGTCGCTCTCCACTCACGAACGGGGTAGTGTTACAAAGGTAATATAAAGATGTGAATAGAACTCTTGAGAAATCTTTGCTAATTTTGTGGCATGACATGATGAAGACCATTAGTAACAGAGTGCATTGCGAAAATCATCGAGTGTAGAAGTAGGAAACATGTCACAACTGCATATAGATCCTTTAGAAATTTACGCATGTTCCGAGAAAGTGTCTCTGCAAAACTCAAGGAATTTCAATTAGCCAGTAAAAGCAGAGAAAGATGAGGAAAAGTCTTCCTACCGGAAACAATTGATGGGGAATTAGAAGATTCAGTTAATAATTCTGAGAAAATCGTAGGGAATGCAACGTAAGTCTCAATAGGAAATTCTGTGAATTCCGTAAGAGGAATCTTAGTAGGAAACATCAGAAAGCTTTGAAGGACTTCGTAAGTTTAAACATCATCAGAAAGCTTTAGAATTCTAAGAACTACACGGGCTTTTTATTTGAAACAGATCTTAACCTGAATTTCAACAACAACAGATGCAGGATTATGATTAGATTTTACGAAGTTTTGTAAAAGGTCGTGATGTTGTAATCTTTACTAGGTAACAATCTTTTGTAGCCATTACTGACTTGCTTATCAAGTGCCGTAAATGTCATGTACCTCACTGGTTTCATTCCATATGAGATATTTCAGAATAACTACTAGTTGTTCATACAGTTTGACGAAAAGCAATCGTGATCGGAGAATCGAATGGGTCCAATAGATTTTTCGATATTTTGTATCGATTTCTCTCGAAAAAATATGTTTTGATGGAATCTATTAGTTCTCAATAGAGTTCAATCGAGGGTAAGCGGTATAGTGAAATTGAACTGCTTTATCAATTTAAAAAATACTGTTTCCAATTCATTTTTCTGGTGTGATCACACAAGACTGTGGGTGTGGATGCGTGTCGGTATGGATATGGGTTTGAATGTATAAGTAATCTGATAGGACCCGCACCCTGCACCAGTCCTTGGAGTAATGCTTATGCTTCCATCAGTCACTGCAGTTGGAGTTGGATCCGTTATCACGGTTGTGATTAGAAACTTAGTCTCAGTTAGGGTTTGAATAGTTGACAATTTTTTACTTGTGTTTCCACTCGTTGCTGTTGTAGGCGTGCTTGTCTGCGTCACTGTAGTGCTGGTGTGAGCTTTCGTTACAGTTGTGGT